ATAATGCTCACTTCTAGATCATTTTTATGACATTAGCTTAGCATCATTTATGTGCAAGTATTTATTCGATTTCTATGCGATTTTTATATCATTTTTGAATTATTATGAAATGATGATCAAATGACTAAAGAATGATCATAAGTGGACCGTTAATGGTCTGCCTAAAATCAGAAAATTTCGCTTCGTTTTTTATATAAGATTAGTCTTGATGCTTAAACGATGCATTAAAAACTCATCAAAGACACTTTATTTAGGTAGTTAATTAGTTTTGGATATTTTTACTGTAGGGGCACTATTCGAATGGGTTAAAAACCAGGAAACAGTGTTTGTAAAGCGGAACGGAAAAAGACGTAATTTTTGTGTGATATTTTTTAAATTTTAATTGTGAAAATGTCAAGATGTGTGATTTGAGAAGCATAAATCTTCGCTGTATTATAGTTTACATTGACTATATGTGGGTATCAAACAATTAATTTTAATTGGTGTTTGAACTTGTATTATTCTACCAGCAAAGATATATGATGTTTGATTATAATCATCAAAACATTGTTCATCTATTATATATGAAATTAATGATAAAAAAGATTAGTTTGATATATTCTGCGTATTACTCCAGAGAAATGTATAAGATATCAATCCTAGGATATCAATGAAACTTCTTGTACCCAAGATCTTGGATTAAGAAATGTCACAAGATCTTGGAAAAAACACCAAGAAGCCAAGATCTTGGATTCTTGAATTTTTCACTCAAGATCTTGAAACACCTTGGCTTACTTCACTCAAGATCTTGAAACATCCTGGCTTACTTCACTCACGATCTTGGGTTAAGAAATTTCAAGATCTTGAGTGAATCCACTCAAAATGTTGCAAGAGCAAGAGTGACAACTTTTCTTCACATTTTGTTTTTATTTATGACAGCTGTAGTCATTGGGTATACGACCATATAGAATCATAGATTCTTCCTTAAATAACTATGGTCATGAAGGAAAAAAATTCGAACTTATTCTAAGTGTGAAAATATTCGCACTTATATTTACACTAGAATGTAAAACAAAACGATGATTCAAGAATTTCCAAGATCTTAGTACAAGAAGTCAAGAAATTACAGGATATTCAGGACCTTGACTTCTTGAAATTTCTTGATATATTCGTACCACGATCTTACTGAAAAAATTCAAGAAGTCAGGATCTTGGTTACAAGAAGTTTCACTAGGGAAGACTGTACGCATAATTATATTTATATCCTAACAAAGTTTAAGGTAAGTGAAAGAAAATCCATTTAATTTTTCATTGTTTTTCTTTGACTAGACTGAAATTTGAATTTATGACGGACTGTGTTTGCGATATCGAACGTAGTCTCCACTGAACGGAGTTAGTCTATGGTTGAAAAGAACAAGAGAAAAAAAAGCAGCCGATATTAACTTTGAAAATATGTCCAGACTCATTTGTATGGAACGAAGACTTCTCACTTATATCTCTGAGTAGCACTAACATAGAACTATCTCTGAAAAATTATTTGAAGATATACTTCTAGAAAATCTGCTAGGTCTAAAACAAGGTTTTCTAGAAGTATTTCAAAGATTTGATTAGTTTTGAAGATTTTGAGGGAAACCAAACATCAGATTCGTGGTCTATGCGAAAAACTCTAGGTAACTTGGAAAAACTGCATTGAATGACATACCTGATTAGTCTCTTTTGAACAAAAGAGAGTTGATCGAAAATTTTCTACCTGGGAACACTTTCCAAAAACAATGTTTTTGCTCGGAAATCTTTAAAATCAATGCGATATAGTCTAATATCGTCAGCGAGCATAAATATACCAAAATTTACAACGTTTCCGAGAAAAAACAGTTCAGCTTGACAGCGCAAAAGAACTCAATCCTGTACGGCTCGACCGAGAGACGACACGGATATCAAACATGAATATTCTCAAATTGAAGCTGAATATATGACTACTGAAACGCATGACGAAGCGGACAAAACTCTGAAACAGTTTAACAAAAAGACCAATACATCAACCTCATTCTTATTTTTCTTGTTTATTAATAAAATAACAGTAAAGAAGAATACACACAACGATAGTTCATGAAATCTTAAGTAGATAATTGGAAGTACCATAGAATAACATCACATAACCAGCAACAAAGACAACAAACTCAGCTCCCAATGCCCATCATTTTGCAGTTACATAGGCTGCAAACACTGTAGAGCTACAAGCACCCAAGGCTAATAAATTTGGTAAATAATGGAATCTTCAAACAACAATAGCAATAAGAATGTTCAGAATAGCGTCACAGTCCCAGAGTATGAGCCACAATGACATATTAATACAGGTGATTTATACCAAGCCGAGATATTTAAAACCGTCAAATTGAACAAATAATATTGAACATGTGCGATTGATGGCATTCGCGAAATCGATACGATGCTGGTAGCCTGCAATACGTTTGCAATGGAGAAATTGTTCAGTATCGGGATAAAATAAATAAAGCACTCATTTATTGACGACGAGGGCCGGTGACGCTAGTTTTTTCTTAATATAAGAAATGAAGAGAAGTAGCAATTGAGCAGAGTCAAGAGAAAATGGGAGAAAAACGATGACGCGACAAATGAATTCGTGACAACACGTTGAAAAAAATACAAGGCTGGTCAAAATGATTATTATCAGTAGTAAAGGCAAGATTATTCTCACATAATGTTTTTCTCTTCGGATGTTTTCCAACAGTAACAGGACTACTACAACTCGACCTCCTGGTGACGAATATCACGTTTGTTGTACCGTTACAGCTGGTACCGTTACATTAGCTTCTATACGTCGAATGCATATCTTGTTGTCTTTTGTTGATATGATTTTATCGGGAAAAAATGGTTTACAAAACGTCCTACCCTAGTCGAGACTCCCGGCAAAACTCCCACGGGACTCCTATCACGGGGTCCTGCGGGATCCTGTAGGAGTCAGGTGGGACTTTCAAGGGATTTCTCAGGACTCCTGAAGACTCCCGTGGGACTTTGAGTATTCTGAGGACTTTCGTTGGACTCCCGCAGGACTCCAAACTTCCACAGAAGTCCCACGGGAGTCTTCAGGAGTCCTGAGAAATCCCTTGGATCCCGCAGGACCCCGTGACAGGAGTCGCGTGGGAGTTTTGCCGGGAGTCTCGACTAGGGTACTTTTCACGTTCTATCCGGTGAAGTTGTTCGCATTGCGAATAGAAAGCGTTTAATGGTAGAAAAAAACAGCTTTCAAAGCCGATTTTCCTCGTTTCTCAAAGTTTGAGCACGTGCTGCACCATTCTACGGGATTACAGGACGTGGGGTGACATCTATTTCGCACGTACTCGACGCGGGCTATTAGAAAAATAGGTGCCCGTCTTTGGCCAAGTACTTTCAGGGAAAATATCACAGGATTTTAGTCTATTTCTAAAAGCATATCTTGTTGTCTTTTGTTGATATAATTTTATGGGGAAAAGTGGTTTACAAAACGCCCTACTTTTCAGATAAACGAGATTTTTAAATATTTTCCTGTGAACATAGTTAACATTTCTGAACGTTTTGTCCACTAGTGATTTTGTAGCTCTGCACATATAGAAGCTAATGTAACGGTACCAGCTCATGAAAGAGTTTCACTAAAACATGGTGACAATGCCTACAAAGGGACTATTCTGCTGGGAAATGGAATTTCCACAGGTCTAGAAGGCCACCATGCCATTGTTTTAAAATTTTTTAAACGTGATATTCGTCACCAGGAGGTCGAGTTGTACTAGTTCTGTTACTCTCGAACAATTCGGACAAAGTCGATGTAAATGTGGTACGTTCTCGAAAGAACAACCCAGCGCAAAGATTAATGCGTTCTGCTCATAAAATCAGGGGAAAGGCGTTGATGGTAGCGATCTTTTTGACTATCCTGGTATCGGTATAGCGATTTGTACATATTCTGGACCAGGATAAGGGAACCATCAGAAGGTCCATAAGTTCAATTTCGAATGGAAGAGCTTGTTTGTACTGTACTAACTATATATACCGAATGTTACGAAAATGTACAGTGTCGCTACTGCTCATGAGAATAATTAGTTTAAACTTCAGAACAGAGTTAAAATTGATTTAAATAGATAATTTCACTCACTATTTACTTCTACATTGATTCTTAGGAATGATCATAACGAGATGATGTATAAAAAGATGCTGCGCAAACGCATCTGCCAATAGAAAGTGAATAAATGTCAACGGTTTTTTTCTTTCTTAAAAAAAGCTAATTAAGTTTAAAGCTACATTTACAGTACAAAATTTTCCGAGTTAACTCTGAGCTAAGTTTTCTACCAATGATCTCTCTTAACACTGAGTTAACTTTTGTAGTGTAAACGTAGCATAAACCAGCTAAAAATATTTTATACTTGCGGAAATGCCGCGACGCGCCCATATCGGTGTAGTTTGACAAATACATATGTGTTCGATTTCAGAACTTTTTAATCTTTGTTAACCGTGTTTAGAATTTACTACTATGATTATGCGTTTATTCCGTCGTCTGTCTAGAGCAACAAGGAAAAAATGTTCAAGAAGCAAGAAACTAATATAAAGATTAAACAAGAAGAGTATATTCGATTATAATGTTATTGTTTTATCTACTCCTTCAATGAAAACAGATTTTGTTTGTCAGATAAATAAAAGAGTGTGTTTCTTTTTTCGTGTCGTTTTCATAATTCTGTGAAGACATTTGTTAAGTTTATTTTGATATGAGGGATTCTTTTGGAGCATTGATTAATTGGTTGTCCTATCGATTCATTAATAAAGTCTAACAAAGCTCTGTACATTGACACGTTACCTTGGCACTCTTAACAGAACTTTTTCCGCTTGATGTAGTGCTTATACACATGGAGTCCTCCCTTATGGTTGTTCAAGTCCATAAATTATTTCCTGGTGTACTAACAGCTTGTTTGATCGGCAGCTAAACTGAATGAGCGCTCTACATTTTCTTCTAGACATCAATTTTGAATTTCTCTTTAATCATGCCTAAAACACGATCTAGTACAAAGGTAAGTCGAGTATAGCAGCCACATTTCGAATTTCTTTGCATGTTGTCACATTTTAGACTGATGCTAATAATAATCAACAATCAATTCTACATGAAGATCTATCAGTTCCAGCTCTACCCATTCGAAATGTGGAAGAAATTCGTGCAAAAAATTTAGAATCAAACCGAATATTTTTAGAAAGTTTATTACTAACAAAGGTTGAATTTTTTTCTCTTCTTAAATATTTGTCAACAATGGCTTTCTTTTAGTTGCGCGATGATTTTAAAGACATTTCCAATTCATTACAACCCAAAAAAGAGCCGAAAAAACGTCAATAGTATGTGCAGAGTAATATCTTCCTAGTACTTCCACACTATCTGGCCGCTTATTTTAGTTTAATGGTCACAGAACAACAACCTGTTCGGCGTTCAAAACGTTTACTTCATATGGATCCGGCTGGAAATAAATTACCATCTCCGGAAGTTTCAGAGAATGAAGATGAAAATAATGGCTCAGGATTGGTGGTCAGTTACGAACGTCGTTCACTATAAGTATAAAATTATTTTTCCTCTTTCATTAGCAATCGTATGAAATGGTTCCAACCACCATTCGTCGTAAATCTTATAAACGAATCGAGCCGTTAACCGAAGAACAACAAGAAGTGGTTAATAACAGAATAAAAACAATATTTTCAACAATTGAAAACCATCAAGATTCAACAAAGTTTGTCCTATTCTTCATCTGCTAGATGCAAAGCCAGTCACTGTTTCTGTTTCCTCTGTGTGAGATATGCAGTACTCTGCAAAAATAGTTATTTCCCCGCGAGACAACAACCCAGATAGAAAATAATTTGAAATTTCGTGTGGATGTAGTTATACATTATACGCTGATCTCTCAAGAAGTTCCAACTTATTAGAATGAATGGTTTTCGAAATATTGCTGAAGCTCAAGCAATTAAGCTTGAAACTATATATAAATAACTCAAAAAACATCAGAAACTATTTCCTAAAAATTTCAGATCGAAAGGATGTTTCAACACCGAGTTATGTCTATTTTTAATAGTGACTCGCTCTTAAAATGTTTTTAAATACAAGAAGAGATTGATTATCCCGGTGGATGAGAAATGTTAGCCCTTTTAGTCAAAATATGAGGTGGGATATGTCGACAATCTTGTACCCAAATGAGCTGCAACTTCTTTGAGGATTAACATATAATTTCAATTAGCTATCATAATTAACTGACAGAGAATATTTACTTTTGTAGAATACTGTATGATTATTCAGATATGGAATTATTAGAAGAAAATGTTTTAAAACTCACGCCGGATCGTCTAATACAAATGGATATCCATCCATCCTCGAATTTAACAGCAATTATCGGTTGTGATAGAAAAGGAGCGACTGGACTTCTTGTTAAAGTAAGTTTTATTGACGATCTTAAACTTGAGTAGTTAAATATCGTCTACCTTTGAGTCGTAAGAAACACGATGATGGACTATTTGACTGATAACTGGAGCTATATTTGAACTTTTTGCTTTATTATTAGTCGGTTAATGATGAACTATGGTCAAAAGTGAATTATATTTTTCACAAAGCTTATGCAACGTGTATACGTTTTGACCGTTTAAATCCAAATTTATTTTATTCATCTTCTTACGATGGTACTTTTCGTTTATATGATATATCTACGAATACATCAGACGAGGTACGGAGTAATGTGCTCTCTTCTTCAAGTGGCTGTTACTATTTCGTAGAATGTTCGTTGCAGGTTTATCGTGTCCCGGATGGCAACGGTATTACATGTTTTGATTATGTGTCAGATAATACGTTTTTGGCTACAATGGAAAATGGAGATGCGATCATGATGGACTTTAGATCAAGGTGAGTATCTAACAGCAAAAAGCAAGCACGTTCTATACCTTATATTAACATCTATGATTGGATTGAAAGTCAAAGTATAATTCAAGTTCTAATAGACTTATAGCTTGGTCATAGACTAATACGCTAATTTTTGACTATTTTTAGTCCAATTGTTGTTCATCGATATGATTTATCAAAAACACGTTTACGTACTATTCATGTTAATCCTTGTCAACCTAATGAATTTTGTGTGGCTGGTAGAGAAAGGTCAGTTTTATGTGGTTACTATCTGATCAGGACGGACAGTATTCTATTTTTGTTTGAAATAGCGCTGTTCGTATATTTGATGTTCGACAATTAGTTGAAGATACACGATCATCATTTATCTATTGTTTATCGACCAATCGTGCCTGTTATGGAGCTTATTATAATCATTTAGGAACATATATTATGGCAACAACAACTGATGATCATTTGGCGTAGGTTAAAAACAGTTCGAATTAAAGAAAAGAAACTTTGGATTCATTTTGCAAACTTATAACTGTCAGAACACTAACTATCTCAGCATTTTTGTCATGAATCGGAAAATCTCAATGTTTGTAAACGATCCTGTACAAAACATCCAGCCTGAATACAGATTGGCTGTCAATGAGAGTTACAGGTTGAAAATTCTCCTTCAAAAAAATTTGAAGAAAACTGAGGGATAAAAAACGCGTCGCTTTGATCACGATCCTTAACAGCTGACTTTTACGTGTAGTTGGCTATCTATCTGATTCGGGTACACGCTTCTCTTGTGAACATATTTACGGTTTTAATCTTCCATGACGTCATTCGGACAGTCCGTTGTTCTAATGATGTTCTCCCGATTTTTCATCCTTTTAGTTCATTCAAATATTCCGATTTCTCATCTGCTGCTTCGACAGCCGACATTGATCCTACTCATCGCGTTTCACATCAAAATTATGTCAATCGTTTTGTGACACCATTTTGTGCCATGCCACATCCAATCCATGCTGATCAATTCTTGATTGGATCAAGTAGAAGAGAACGTCAAGTATGTGAAACTGCTTCTTACTCGTTTAACTTGAAATTGTTGTATACGTGAGTGTTATTATAGATTCACGTTGTCGGCGTTGATTGTAAAGTTTCATCATCATTAGAAAGTGTCAATTTAAATTCATTATGCTCCGTGAATATTGCACATCGAACACAGCCAATTGTAGTTGGAGGCAATTCAAGTGGAAGAATTCATGTATTTACAAAACGATAATAATAACCTAGCTTGCATTAAACTCTGCGTGTATCTAGTCAGATAAATCGTTTATTTTTTTGTGTCAGATTTAGATAAAGTAATGAAAACTATATTTCTATTTTTTTTATGTGTATACCAATATATATTGAAGCATTTTGTGCATTTTTGAATAACTGTGTTGTAAAGTAAAGTAGATATGTAACTGACTAAGAATATTTAACATTTAATAGCAACCACTAACATTTTAAACGAGAAACTGCAGTATAAATAGCAGAAAATATGCCGAACATTTCGTAAATTTCAGTTTCTTTCTTGCTTGCAAATTTCCGTCTGTATTTTTAAATTCCTGCGTAGATGAGAATGGTAAAAAGAAAGTGTAGTAATCTCAAATCGTTATCTGCTCTAAATATTGCTCATCGAAATTCAACAATTATCATTGAAATAAATACATGAAACAAAATTTATGTTTCAAAAAGACAATAATAATGTCCTCGCTTGATTTGAACTGTACATATATCTAATGAAAAAGAAGTTTTTATTTCTTGTGTTAAATAGTGTAAAAAAATTGTTTCAATTAATACTCATTTGTACAAACTACAATAGTTGAGAATAAATCTTTCTTGTTGGTAGATAAAATAAAGCTTGATTCAAGTGTCTTTTAATCAGAGCTGGGCAACTTCGGCTAGATACAACTCCAACTCCGAATTAAAATCTGTTCGTTCTTTTTCTAACAAAAAACTAAGACTAAGATTCAAAAATTGGCGTCGGTCAGTTCATGTAGTTTCTTTTTTTCTTTTAAACAAGAAAAGAACTCTACTCTCTACGGCAAACTGCTATTAAAAATCTTGAGAAATACTTCAAGCATAATTTTCGTGTAGAGAAAACGCTGTATAAAATGCTCAATTTTAGGACTTATAGGAAAATGCCTTGAAATTTTTGACACAAGATCATACAGAGTTGTGCGGGGTCTTATTTTGATCAGGAACGTTTGCTCTACGAATCTATGAGTTGAAAAAAAATTTAATTGCATAACTATCCAAGAAAAAGCTAATATTTGAAGATCCGATTTTCGAGGCTCTTAGAAAACTTGCTTGAAAACCGCGAAAAATTACAACTATAACCGAAAGCGATAGAGATTTCAGGCTATCTTTCAATGTGCGTATCTCAAAACCGATTTTTTGACCAAAAATCACCATTTCTAGGGGCAGGAGGGCGGCTTAAGCCGTCCGTCATGTTTTCTTTTTATAATAGTATGTGAAAAAAATCATTACAATAAATCAAAATTACATTTCAACAATGTTAATTTTGAAAGCCTAATCTTCGTTATACTACTACGATGTGGTCGAAACCAAAAACCTGATTGCGAAAAACACCCTCCACAAGAGCTAATGTAGTCGAAGTTGAAGAAATTTTTAACCGGAGTTTCAGAGTTGGAGTTAACAAAATCTGTCATCAACTCAACTCCAGTCGTTTAAACAGTAAACTCCAACTCAGCTCTAGCTCCGCAAAAAAAGAGCTCAACTTCGAAGTTGAGTTCCCCAGTTCTACTTTTAATCTTTTACTTTTCGACATTCAGTGTATGGGTTATGTTGTATTTAAATAAATAAAAGATAGATGATGACAGATACAAACAGGAGGATAGAACACGTTTGAGCAGTAATTATGAGATAACCAATTTTTAGTCTAAAATTTGATTCAGATATAATAAAATTAGCGTCATTTTGAAGCTTAATGGTAAAGAATGTTAACTTAGACAAGTTTTCAAATCATTTATTAACAATGATTTGAAAGTCATCTTTAAGATATACAAAGATATATGGACTTTATTCTTTAAACTGATCAAATACTTGTTTGCTATTTTCTAAACTGATTTGAACAGACCGATTTGTGATAGGATAATTAAGTTGTGAACTATTGATAGGTATTATAAAAGTTTATTCCATTATGCTATACCACATATATACTTACAGTTTTTGTTTCAATTTTCTTCCTTTTTATAAAAAAATATGAGGTCAAAAGCAAACACATTTACATTTTTAAGTTTTTAATGCAACAAGTGGAAGAAAAGAACTTGTTAGATTTAAACTTAAAGATCACAAACACGCCCACAACAATAACAAAAAAGTTTATTTTTTGGAATGAAAAACAGAGAGAAATAGATAACATTGAAGTGAGAAATATAAATAAACAAAATACAAGACAATAGAAGAGACCACCAAAAATTGATAGTCACTGTTTTATTAGTAGTTAAATGTTTTTCTATTGCACATATCGAAACCTTAAAAAGAAGATAAAACCTGATTTCAATTTGTTCGTATGTACAAGAAAAACACTAGAAAAAAGTGTTTTCACATTGTACTCAATGGACAATAAAAATAAAAACTATAAACGGTGGAAGAAACGTGTATAACTAACTAGAAGAACATGAATTCTTGACAGAAAAAATAAGTTAAAATAAGGCAACTAAGACATCTATTGTCATATTACAATAAGAGAAGAAAAATAGATAGACATTCAATTTCATTCAAATTGTGCTTGATTAAATAAAATAAAATACTTTATAAGCCGACAGTATGCATTGCTTCAATTATTTTAGCAACGATATACTAAAATAAATAAGAAATGAATGTGACAAGATACAATTGCATTCAATTTGAAAAGCAAACGATGAGAGATCATAGTAAAATAGACTAACAAGAGAACCTCTCGAGGTGATAAAACGCTTTTTGCTCGGAATGTAGTGCGTTATAGATTATCGATCATGTTGATTCTGAATATGGCCATGGGAGCGGTCCTTAGCCCTTCAAAGACCCGGTTTCTAGAAACCAGCTTTTCAAACTCTAAAAGACAATCAGAACCTTTCTTAATGAGGCATGATTGTAGCCTGCAAATTTCTGATTAAAATGAGACATCTTACACGACCTTTCTTTGCAAAGTTATAGAATTTATAAGAAAAGCCCTAAGTTAATATTTTCCTTTCTTATTTCTGTAGCTTTGAGTTGACAGTGAATACTTAGGACTTTTCTTGTAAATTATTTAAGTTTGCAAAGAAAGGTCGTGTGAAGCTGGGAGATGTCTCATTCTAATCAGAAATTTGCGGGCTACAATCACGCCTCTTTAAGAAAGGTTCTGAGTATATTTTAAAGTTTATGAAAAACTGGTTTTCTAGAAAATCGGGTCTTTGAAGGGCTAAGGGCCACCCTCATGATCATATTCGGAATCAGCATGATCGATGACCTATAACGTACTAGATTCGAGTGAAAAGCGTTTTATCACCTCGAGAGGTTCCCTCGTAAGAAAAAGAAGGCTATTAGGCTATATTCTTGTTAGTATCCTGTTGACTTCATCAGCTACAGTTCACATCACACAAGTCTCGATAAGAAACTAAGACTAATCTCTTGCGTGAACACTGATTTGATCTGAAACCTAACAGGATGAAGACTAATATGTAATTCATACTTTGGCTTCCGTAACTGATCGATATTTCACCATTTTTCCGTATGTTTTATATGTTCTTATTGTTCCCATATTTTTTGCTTCCTATAGAGAAAACATCAGTTATGAAATACATTCTAAAAAAGTTAAAGAACAAGAGAGTTTACTTTTATTAATATTTGTATTTGTTGGAGATTTGGCTTTATGATTGGTTCGTCTTTTAAATCACTATACTCAAATTGCCAGTCAATTTGATATTGGCCCAAAAATGATATTTCAGTTATAAATAAAATACGTCTACAAAAAGAAAAATTGAAAAAGAATATCGATATTATTATTATTGATTCACATTCAAACGATATACTTTGATGTAGCCATCAACCAACCCGGCGGGGCTTCACAGCAATTGATATGTGCAATATATGTATCAGTTTTGGAGTATTTACCACTGTCAAGTCTCTGAAAAAAAACGTACTGATGATGAGTAACATAAAATCTTTATCGATAAAAGCAATCGAGATGGTGAAATTTTGCATCTAGATTAAATGATCATATGATTATCGCGTTGGAAAATGTAAATAAAGATGAAAGATACCATCTTCAACATAGCTCACTCGAAAAACAGTTCACAAAGTTTAGCATTGTCTATCACTTTGTAGTCTAAAAAATTCAAAATTTATTTACTTACATTTAAAATATAAAATCCCATCGCTTCATGTGCAATATAAGGTCGTACAAGTCCATCTTTGCCAATATGTCTTGGATAACGTACACGTCGTACAAGTTCTTCATTTGTTGCAGCACTGCAAAATAAAATACAAAATATACTCTCAAATAGTGAACAATGCTTCATACACTTTCTGACCGTTTAATCATGTCCAATGATGTACTGGCAAAATCGACAATACCACCAGTCGGTCGTGTAACAAGACCAATAAAACCTTTTCCAAGACCTTTAACAAATCCAGATGCTCCACCTTGTTTGGCACCTTCTACCGGTTTTTTTACAACTCCAGTCACACCATCAAGAAAACCCTTTTAATTAAAAGAGATAAAAAATTAATAAACAAATTGTTAGAACAATTTGAATTTAATTTACCATGACGATATTTTTTCCTCCAACAGCAATATCTTGTGTGTTATTTGTAGGTTCTTTTCGTCGAATACGATTTTGTTTATATTCTTCATCAAACGTCAACGTAGCTAAACCTTTTCCTAATACGCCCGTTATTTTTGAAAATGCACCTGCAGCACCACCAACAGCCGACCCAAATAAGGTTTTCACACCAGTCACAACACCTTCAGCAAATTCAAATGGACCTTCGACAGCACCCTAAAAATAAAGAAAAACTTGTAAAGTAATATTGTTTGAAAAATATTGCATTGATCATCAATAGGATGCTAGCAGTAGGAATATTATTTCTTCTCAATAAAACTATTAAAATTGAAAGTACTAACTTCACTGAAACAAACGGTACACTTTATAGATTATTGTACTCACTTTATATGGTTCATAAAATAATGATTCAACACCTTGAGCAAGTCCCCTAATAACTCCAAATGGATTTCCTAACACATCGAGCCCCAAAACGAGGACATGTATTTGTTTCATAAATTGATTTTGATAATGACTACCCACTTCAGATGTTAATCTTGAAAATGTTTGTCTGTCCTGCTTACGTTCATAATAGCCTAATCTAAATGATTAAAAAAGATAAAGTGAAATTAAACGTACACAGATATGTTTATATTTACAAACCTTAAGATAACATCTTGTACTTCAGCTACATTTAATGTTTTTAGTAGAAACCTAGCAAATGGATATTCGGCTAATAATTCTTCGCTAGGATTGGCACCATGCATTGAAAAACTAACATGTATCTTGGAAAAAAAGACAAAAAGAGAAAGCCATTCAGATGAAGATATCACAAAATTAAAATAGCATTAACATACTTTTAATGGTGATAAATGAATTTGATCAAAATACATTTCCTTTTCACCGGATGGACTATTTGTTTGTTCTTTAATTATGGTACTTAATGGTTTATTTATTAATTCCAAATCTGTATCCATGTTAATAACGGGAGCTGTAACAGGCTATTAGATAAGAAACAAAAATATTCATTATTTAATATTCTTTTGAATCGAAAAAGTGATCAGCTAATTAATAACCTTTTCAGATTTTATAAATGATAAAATCGATACAATAAGACCTTGATCAACACAAACAGCAAATTCTTGTATAAGTAATTTAAAATATCTAAATCAAAGGATAATATTGATACATTTCAAAAAATAATAAAATGAGATAACTCACTTGAATTGCATAATATTTGAACGTACACCTTTTGTTTCATATATACTTAACTCAATAAATGGTTTTTCAGCTAGAGAAAAAATGAAGTATAAATTTGATTGTCTATTGAATGATAAATATCATTGTATATGTACCTGTATCAGTTTCTGTTATTTTTGACGTTATAGGATATAGAATAACAGGAAATATTGTATAATCCAATTGATTGTCAATCTAAAGAATACATTCTATGATACATCTAGACAAATGTCAATGGAGATTCTCAAACTGATCTTCACTTTATACTTTGAGTATTATGAAGTATATAGTGTGTATTTAAATATTTGATATATGTGTTTAAAATGTTAATTACTTGTACACGATTAATTCGAACATGTAAAGCCGCTTTGGTTACTGACCAAGCATAATCAATCCATAGACCATCTAAGGCTTGACGTCTGACTTTTATCGTACGACCACGTTGATTTATTAAATCGCCTGTATTATCGTCAATAAATATTACTTGCTAAACACATAAAATATTTACACTATTTTCAATTGTAGAAATAAGATCAATGATACAAATCTTACTCTATTTTCCATTATTGAGTATTTCTGTTTTCTCAATTCTAGATCATCTGGATTGGTTATCTTCTTATCCTGATGTACTTTATATGTTTCTTCTAATGCATGATTTAGATCAGAATTAAATGGTCTCCAACGACTTTTTCTCTGTTCAGTCCATACCACTTTTGATTTATTCATACTAATATAGAGTAATTCTTCATGTTTAATATCGTCGACAATCGATATACCAATATCATGAATACCAATTTGAATACGTTGACCCATTGATTCAGCTAAAGTTAGTACCTGAAAAATAAAAATTAATCTATAATAGAGCGACACAACACATCACTTCGAATGTTATATCTTACACCAGATGCTTGTTCAATAATATTAGTGTTATCAGCAAATAATAGAACTGTTTGAACACCATCAATAAACGATGTATAATTTATTTGGTGATGTTCACCAATAAAACCACATTGAGGCTGAAAATTATGTAGAAAATAATCATTCATAAATGAAAAAATGTGACTGATGACTGTTTCATATTTACGGTTAAATCCAAACTTGTTGTATTGCCTTGTACCGATGAGATAAGTGACCTGGGTTTCATTGGATCAACCCATGTATAATAAACATAATTTAGTGGTGGAAGTACTTGACTCTTACTAAATTTAAAATAAAATGAATTCATAGAGATGAAAATTTTTTATCTAATTTTTATTTCCTACCTTTCCTCTTCTGTTTGATGAAATGTAATCGAATCATTTTTAAGACAATTGACAATCATTATAGGTGCATCACCAATTTTATAATCACTAAATATCAGTCGAACACCATTAAAATCTGTCGCTGTTACTTCAACGTTAATTGCCGGACGATCCTTTATCAAAATAAAAATAAAAAGTTGATCAACACATTCACAAACATTATGAAAAGAAAAATATCAGACTAACCTTATCTTCCATTCTCAATAATGTTCGATGTTTTTGATTCATTATAAATGGTTGACTTAATACATGATTTCGTTCTGTATAACGAACACGCATTAAACCTTTTTCCATACTATGAGGCCAAAATGGAACAACCTAAATTTAAAAGTAGAAAACAACAATAAGGACATTTATTTAAAAAATAAAAAAAGACATATTTAATATACTTACCCCACCAGGATTTAGTGGACCCCATTTATCTTGTTCTTTATCATCCACAGTTTCAATAACTTCAAGTTCAATCTTAATAAAATTAAACAATAATAAGATGATATTTCTATATTTTCTTGTTTTTTGCTGATAAACATACTGTCGAATTATTAATGATAATCATTGATGGTGATAATGTTATGATTTTTGACATACCAAATGAACTTGTCACAATTTCCACACATAACTAAATTAATAAACAAATGAGATATCATCAATATTTTCTCTTCACTTACCATGTATGTTTTATTATCTGGTATTTTACAAATGGCCACTCCAGTACTTTTAATAACATCAAGAGAAAATTTTTCACACCAATTTGTATCAGCATGATCAAGCTGAGCAGTTCTTACACGAATTTGAGCCTAAAATTAGTCAAAAAATGTGATATGATTATCAAATAAGATTTCATACGTTTAACCTTTTTATTTGAATTGGTATCAATTTTTTCTGGACATATTAAAAATGGTGTTTCAACATTAGGAATGTCTGTTTGCTGATTTTCAATCTAAAGACAAGAAAATATAATTATGGTAAAGAAAAGATCAATATTATCAACGAAAAGTAGATTAACAGAACAGATATTTTTCGTTTATTAATTTCATACGTATTCTACAATTGTATAGTTAACCAAAAGTTGTACTTACTTGAAAGTCGAGATCAAACGATGTTCGATTTAATATCCAATATGGTGCATATAATAATATTCGATAAGATTTATGAAATGTTTCAACACGTAATGCCATATTCTAAAATGAGAAACATCATAATTAATTTTAATTTTTTCTTTTCATATAAACTTACTAAAGTGTTTCCAGATTGATCATGAAATTTGATTATATCTTCATTTTTTTGTTCTTCTTGTAAATTAATTGGTTCACTAATCCATTTGAGTTTACTATAATTTAAAATCTTAAATAAAAGAGATTTAAATTTTAATTATTTCTAGTTTTTCTTTGTCATATGCGTGTGTAATACGAACAGTAAATATTAGAACAGAATTTTTATCTCCAGAAGTAACCATTTGTAGATCACTCGGTTTCATATTAATTGTTTCATTATTCTAAAATACAATAATAACTGGAGTCATCTAATTTATGAAATAAGTCAAGTCAAATTTGTAACAATGTGCCTCTTTTTTCATTAACATGAAACTTATCAGAAGATAAGTCATAACTCTGTAGTTACAAGAAAATCTATGATCTATAAGACTGTGCTAGGTATTGAAAGTGAAATCATGTATCTAATCAAACAGATAATGCCTATAGAATAGTAATTACGCTAAGAGACAAAATTTGACTCAATTCTCAAATGTTTTCTTAGGCTCATAGGATGACAGAAAATCAAATGGATATTTAACAGATCGAACATATTTGGAACAAAAATGAAGTATCGTGGATATTATATAAACTTTTTTCAGTATGTTTGACAACTACCATTAAAATAATCTGAACAAAAACCTTTCATCCACAGTTATTAACTTACATTGATTGTACATTGAACATCCAGCGGTAATAAATTTGTCAAATGTAATGCTGGGTGAACGTAAATACTAAATGACTCTTTATCATTTTGGTCAGTATTTTCACTATAAGCGTTATGAACTTCTTTATATATCTGAAGAAAAAAAATCAAAATAACTTTTATAGATTATTAATCGATTAATGAAGTAAAAATACATACAACAAAATGGGCTTCTGAACCATTTTTTAATTTTAATTTTCGATTAGTAGTAGATTCAGCCGTCCAATCGAATGAAAAAAAATCATTTACAGGTTCATTATCGCCACCCCTAAAACAGATAGAAATACAAAATAATGATCAAGAAAGCAAATGTGTTAGGACCGAGTATAATGAATACAGATAAGTCTGTTTCATATTAAACACCATAGACATGTGTCCTTATTATATGTGTTCTTACCGGACATTCGCAGTTAAAATTAGAAACAGGTGATTCAGATACTTTTAATGAAATTTTGTTTAAGGTCTCTCACTCTGTCAAAAATCTATTTTGTCCCAGAATATCCGATCTTGTCAAAATGTTCATAGAATGTGCGTTTTATTCATAGAACGATGACACTCAACTTTTGAACCCAAAAGCATTGAGTTCTCCTAAAAATCAGAGTCAAAAAGTAGGTATTCATGCGGTAAAGATTTCTCATTCTGTTTAATCTGTATTATGATACATAACCTACAGAAAATATGAAAGCGGTAAATCATTGTACCGACGTTAACTGAGATAAACAAAAGTAGAAATTGTTTTTGTCATAAAAGAGAAAAGTTATACTTTCACAGGCAACCAAATCGACACACACACACATATACCAGTTACATATGAAATAAAAACGAACAAACGATGGATGAGAGAAAAAGAAAAAGCTCTTGCATGAAGTCACAACGACAAGATAAATTACGACTTATTGATGAAAACGCTGCTCAAAACAATGTGTTGACGAAGAGTTCTGCATTGAGTTATTTTGTTAAATATAGCAGCACGAGGAGAATCATATCGGGAGTATTGCAATAAAAAATGTTTAACCCTTTCCTTCTTTCTGCATTCCCAGTATCTACTAGATATTAAAGATTATTGTTTAAAGTCGAAAACCCGTAACGAATTTGTTTAAAATTGTGTCATAGTTCCGAGTTACTCCATAAATGCGAAAAGCAGTGTTTTTTTCGATATAGTCGACCTAACTTTTGTTTGAATGTCTTTAATTTGGTTTATGAACGTAACTACAGAGGTAATTTATTTCATATAAAAAGGAAGTTAGAGAAGAAGATGACCACACACTTTTGTGTTTCATACTTTTTCTTTCCAGTTACGTGTGATCGCACGTTCCACTGAGGTTTTAACATGTTGAAAAATTGAGGTCGAATCGGATATGATGAGTGAGAGGTTGTTTGCCGCTCAAACTTGTCAGTTACATACTCAGGTGTTATTCGAATAACTATTTTAAATCGTAAAATCATTTTTACATTTTCAAAAGACTATAGAATGTCGATCCATCCAAGAGCTTCTCGAACATTTTTTTTTTAATGGTGAGACGAAGCCATCCACTTACTACTAGAGCAAATTTATACTTAAGTTGTCTTAAACATCCTAAATGATTTGGGGTAGTACAAGTAAGAACTGGAGCTCTATTACAATTGGAAATGAATAACCTTTGTAGAATTCACAGTTTAGCAGCTCAAGTGACTTTAGAGTGGTCTCAAAATGTGGCCACAACTTGGCTCTACAATTTAAAATTTAGAAAATCGTTTAATGATTTAAGTATTGTGGAAAAAAACTAAACTTTAAATATTTTATTTTTCAAGATTTCCCCAAAACTTCTTTTGAAACCATGAAAATTTATCTCTGTGGCAGAAAGGAAACACTTTGGGGTATCTGTCTACGTATAAATCTCAAAATCGATATTTTCGACTGGAGGGAGCCCTTAAAGTTTGATGAAAGTAATCAAACAAATAAGCCAACTTACTCATCAATGGCAAAAAAGATGGGCGAATGACTGTGAACATATAACAGCCACATTGGCATATAATATTCTTGATTAACATCTATTTTAGTAACACGTTTTGCATTTTTAATCTCGCCAGCTTCAGCATGAAGAATACTTAATGGAACAGATGTACTGTTGTAGATCTTAGAATAAAAAATAAAAGCAAGCTACAACTAGTTTTTACAAAAAGAATTTGATACGTACTTTAACAATTGAACTGAATACAATTCTTCGTCTGTCATTATTCAATTGTACGTCACATAACATTTGAACGGGCCATTGTGAATTTGGTGATAGACCAATATCATAGACTTGTTGCCATGTATGTGTTAAACTAACAGTTTTTACATCATTACCAATCTAAAATGTATTTGTTTTATATTTTATTCGTTCCTCACATTTTTTTACATTGTTCATCCTACTTTAATCGATAATTCTTGTCTACGATGATGGTTTTGTTCTTCAATAACTGATAAACGTGCCATTGATAAACGATCATGTGGCACAGTTAAAGCAACAGATTCATTATTTTTTAATGCATAAGATTTTTTTTTTATCTCAGCAAACTAAACAAACAAAATTTAAAAGAACTATGATAAATGTATTACTAAAGTTACAAGCATAACGTGTTATTAAGGGATCTCAACTGTCTATCGAGGACTTGCGCACAAAACAGGAGTTATACCTCAAGTCCATCTAAATTGTCTAAATACACTTCTACTCCAGTTGCATTATATATGGATAGTAATGGTTCATCTTCACACAGTGGTAAACGTTGATTATAAACATCGTTAAACAAAGCTGATAGATGTTCTAACAAATCTAAACCAGTTTTCGTCAGTGTTAAACTTAATAACTGATCAGCACGAACAATTATAATTTGTTTTGCACTGCTTGGTAACGGCTGATTAATATCTGACTTTTGTTCATTTGTTTGTATTGCTGTTGAATCATTTTGATCATTTGAAACCTATGGATAATGAGACAACACAGACATAACATAATAGAACTTTAAAATCTATAGTTCGTGTTATAAATATGAATAATAATCCTATATACCATATCGAAAGAGCAAAACGTAACTTCTAATAGACTAGTTCAAAATAACGAGGATGAAACCAAAACAAAAATTATCTGATGTTCTCGAATAGTGAGTTCAAATAGCAAAGCATTAGAATATTGCTACAAATATGAGACGACACATTGTCACTAAATCGTTCTGCTGCATATCCCTGCAGTTGTTGACGAAACACTACTAAAACTACTTTTAAAAGCGTAAACTTTAACTATTAAATGATTCTGCATCTATTGGATAAAATAGATACAGGATTTTTTGAACGATTCGTCTATTACTAATAGTTGATCTCGATGCTCTTTAAACATTTAGCCATGAAAATGCAAAAACAATGACTAGGTAATAGATTGATAGCATCTTATTTTATTGTTAGTCGTAAATGTTAACGCCTGTACCATTATATCTGTATTAGTATTCTGTATTCGTTTTGATCGTTTACCTCAGAACTATCCTCGATGTAGTCCTCCCTCTCGCCCTATAGAATAAAATACTGTTTGAAAAAGAAATGATTATTCTCCTGTTGACATACCGGTACGATCGAACATGCAATACTCCATGGTACCAATGTAGCACTTTTCGATTCAAGATAAGGTTCAATTAATGGTTCCCAAGTGAGCATACGTTCATTAAATAAAGCCATTTCAACAGAAACAGTTGATGACAATAACATCTCAAAAAGAAACAAATATGTAAGATTGTTTTACTCATACAGTACGACTCGTATTTTACTTACTACACTTGACCAATTTTTAAGATCCGCTGTTAGATTTGATAAACACATGGCTATTACAGATTTTGTCGATGAACCAAAGCCCACTTCAAGTTTGACTTCAATTGTATCACAAACAAGAATAAGCTGAAAAAAGCAGAAAATACATATATGCAATGATATTTCTTTTTTACAAGACTAACTTGCTGAACCATTACTGTTGGCTGTGATTCCAATTTTTCCTCTATTTCTTTAATTTTTTTCTCTTGTTCAATAACTTCTTTTTGTTCTGATGAGTCACCTGTGACTGCTTGAAGTATATCCATTGTATTATGTTCTAAATTTGAAAATATAATAGCGTAAGAAGAAAAGAGCGTATGATCAACACATTTTTCGATACCGACCTGGACCGATAAACCAAAAACTTGAATCTTTAAATGGTTTTGGATCAAACAAGGATACTGCATTCACTTTCTCCATTTCTTTCGTTGTCGATACCTAAATAAACCGATAGAACACATACTATTTTCAAAACTTAATCTTTTTCCAATCATTGACTCCAAGTTAGACTCTTGACGTATCTGAGAGAAAACTAACTTAATTTTATCATACATAGCGTAGTTAATATTATTTTTGAAGACACTTAATCATAATATAGATTCTCGTTTTCATTACCTGTAACGCTCCTATCGAATTTATAACGTTGATAACTGTTCTGACAGCTGCTGGCGCAATACTAACAATAATATCGGATACTCGAACATCAATTTTTTGTTGATAACTATCACTTATCATAATTAAATCGACTTTAGCAGGCTGTAAAATCTAAAGAACAAAGAACATTTTGGAAGGAATAAAAAGATTTTTTTCTGTGTCACTATATACCCTATATCTAATTTTCGAGAGATTATCATTTGCAATTTTTAATTTAGCAAGATTTGAACTATAAACGGTTAAGTCTTTCACCCAAACATACATTTTTGTATCATCACCAGTATTAAACATTTTCATTTGAGCCGCCATCTACAAAGCAAATAAAAAGATGAGTTTCAGTAAAATTTGTACAAATTTATTGATTCGAAATGTGGACTCTCTCAAACTTACATCAAGTACAAGACAATTTGAGTCTGCCTTATGTTGATCTTCAAGTAGAATAATTTCTGGATTTTTCACGAAAACCTCTACTCTTGTTTCAATATCAACTTCGACGCCATGAGAACGAGATGCAGCAGCTAAAAAGAAGATCATACCATTAAAATTGCTATCTTTTACAAGATATAGTATATACATTTTTCATTTTTCGATGGTGTTTTTGGTAGAGAAAATTGTACTGAGTTACGCGACTTTTGTCGATCGATTGTTGATGGTGATCTTGACACACCCAAAGATTGATCTGATGGATATATATTGGTTATTGCTTTTGATGTTTGTTTATCTTCTTTTGTCACGTGTAGATACTTGTCTTTATCAGCAACATTACTACCGATTGGTAAACCGGATAAAAAAAAATCTTGTAATGTCATTAAATAATCAAGACTAATACATATGTAAAGACTTTCTAGTTGAGCATTGACTGAAAAATACAAGAACAATTTTGAACAGAGAATAGAGAAGACATTGTGTTCTCACTCACATTGTCTTAATGCTATATCTCGCTGTTTATTTTTTGGCTTAAATTCGAATGAAGCAATTAGCACATGATTTGATGGATCTACAGAAAAATGTTTATCCATCATTCTAGAAAGAAAGAAAAAAAAATGAAAAACAAAATTGAGATAGAGAGACACATTATGTCTAATGCTTATTGTTTTTCTTGCCTCGTTACGCCAGCACTCTGATGTGTTTCACGTAAATCATCAAGTAGAAAATTTTTAATTCGTCCCACTGCTTTGTAACTTGAATCGTTCATTTGTTTAAATATCGTTTCAAGTGCTTCAATACGAACATCGGCTAATTTCAAATTCTCTAAACGATCTTGACGTCGCTTTGTCTACAAACAAATAAGAAACAATTTTTTCAGATAGAAAAATATTTAATCGTAATTACCACATACCATATTTGATTCACCCAAATACAATGTTAGTGCAACTGTTTTTATTTCTGCACGAACTCTAACTGTTGTCGTTACTTCTGTATGTGATTCTGAAAAAACATATATAGACAAGAACATAATCAGATTGGATTGGAAAATAGTAACTCTTCAAATGTATTCTTTAAACTAGAACCATAAGAATATGATGTTTGTTCATTATTCAGTAATAGGGAAAAAAAGTGTGTTTAATGATACATCGACTTTCACTTTGTTAATAGAATATCTCGTCATATGTTGAACAAGATCTTACCATGTTGTTTTTGAAGAACTGTTTCACGTAATTTATTTTCTTCTGCTTCTTGATCAGCTGATTTATAATGATATTGTTCCACTGTCTCAATATCGCTGACTATTTGATCCTTGATATTTTCAGAAAAATTTTCCAATAATACTTTCATTATACACGAAAAATCACCTTTTGATAATTTAAACTAAAATACGTTGAACATACAATAACGTTTATAAAGTTAAATATGGCAGAAAAACGAATCATTATTGTCTGACACAAGAGGATAGGATCAACTACACCACTGAGCTTATATACTTGACTACAATCAACCAGTAACGTTCTTTATATTTACTGTTTCTTTACGTGCGGTTGTCTTATTAGTAAAAAGTAACAACATCAATGGCATTTTATACTGCGACATCAAATATTTTAATCATACGTACATGCACTAAATCCCAATCTGCTTTCACGCTCACTACCGGTTCATTTTTCGCTTGGTCTGGATATAATAATCGATTAATTGTCGTCGTTAATATTTCACAATCTAACAAGATTACTTCGCCCTCGATATCATGATTATTATTTAATAAAACCCGTGATGCAAGAACATTTTCAAGTTTAATATTTTGTTGTTCAATAAGACCATGTTTTTCATCTTGTAAAAATTTTGTACGCAATGATAATTTACCTAAATCTAATAGTAATGCTTCATTGGAATAAGAATTTGTTGGTACAAATATATTTGGTGCATTAAACTGAACATCCAACTGTAATTTAAATGCTTGCTCTTGTAATTTTTGAATATTTTCTATAGTCGCTTCAGCATATTGAGATGATGCTAATTCTAGGGCAGCTTTTGCGACATCCAATGTATCCAAAAACGACTATATATAAAAAAAATTTGGATATATTTAAAGTCAAAACAAGGAGGAAAAAGTTACTTTTGTTCTATTCATACTAAGCAATCGTCATTCTACACTTCTTACTTAGAAATGATATTTTCTTCTTTTGAGATTTATTTTATACGTACCAATAGTACATCGATATGTTTAAATAAAAAGACGATATTTGCTTTGGCAAATTTAACTTCCACATTACAATCCACAGCATTCAAATCTTTTTTTTGATCATTTGATAAATTATGCAATATTAGATCAATACGCAACAATTCATCAGCATCACCTTGTTGAGATATGATCTGAAGTGAATGAAAGAATTAGATACACTGAAACAATAACTTATTCACTCACTTTTTTATATTTTGCATGAGGATTTGGATCATATATATTAAAGTTACTCAGTATAAGATTAACGATAGTTTTATTCGGCTGTTGTGATACATTTGCCTTTAGACCTAGACAAAAAAAAATAAGGCATACCACTCAAAAATCAGCTTTAAACTTACCCCCAACACTAATGTCAAATAAGGGAGCTTCTTCTGTAGAAATAATAAAACGAAATTCTTCTAATTCAGCACTTATAGCTAGACTAGGTGTGGCTACGACAGTGTCTAAAACATAACCGTTGAACAGAATACAGAGTCACAAACATCTTTCGATAACTTACCCGGTTTTTTCTTTTCTTTATCTGTCACCGTTGTAATTACTTTGTCATTTTCTTGTTGTTCATTCTTCTTTTTTTCCTCCTCTTGTTCTCTTTTTTTTTGTTTTTCGTCTTCAGTTTCTGTTGGTAATCTTTTTATTAAATTATCATGAAATCTTAGAATACTCAATAATGCTTCTAACTGTAAAATAACTTCTAATTTTGAAAAATGAAATTTGCCAGCATTTTCAATCGAATTATACGGTTCTCTTTTAAACATCGGGTTATCGCGGGATGTCTAAAAGAAGCCCAATTTCTGCTAATAACCATTATTCTATGCAGTTATAAATGTTAATGTAAACATACGTTTAGAAAATGGACACTGATCAGTTTTGTATCGTCATTTTCATTATGCTTTTTGGCTGAGATGAGACGAAGTGGTTCACCAGATTGTGTAACAAATTGTTGATGTAAAAGGATTATATCAGCCAGAGATGCATCAAAACTAACATCGTAAGTTTTAAATGTTGTTCTAGCCAACATCGACACCAGTGATAAACGAAGGAACGGACGTTCATCACTGCCTTCATCGTAGTGATCATTTTTAACACCACTATAACGCCTTGATGATGATTGAGATGATGATTCTTCAATCAAAAGGTTAACCTAAAGAATACGAAAACTTAGAATTAAGAGGCAGAAATTATTTGAAGTTAAATACCTGCGATAACTCAAATGTTGCATCTAACTGAGTCAGTTGAAAATAAGAATTTTCCTTTTTTCTTTTTTTCTCATCAATCTTTGATTGTTCATTTTCATCTAGCTGAGACTAAAAAGAGAAATAAAGATATACAAGAACACAATCATACACTAATTGTCAGTGAACTAAATGCACAAATTACTTGTTCTTCTTGTATTTTTTTCACTGGTGTCATTTCTTCAACTTTTTCCATGGTATCAGCTGCCGACAAGGATATTTGTGATGGTTGCTAGAATAAACAAAACAGCAAAAATATAAACGAATAGAAAACGTTTTCCTTTTGTAAGCCTACTTCAGCTGGTTCGATTTTCTGAATTGTTTCACTTGTATTTTTTGTTTCTGGAAATGGTAGTGATTGAACATGATGAATGATTTGAAACAATCTCTTATCTGATAAACGCATATCAATAGCGGGTATCTGTCCGTCGATTTTCCATCTGTACAAAACAAAAGGTATACGTCTATGGCATCAAAATCAGCTGAGTACAATAGACATACGCTGGCAAATCAGCATCATCCGAATAAATACATTTATATACATTCATATTTAAGGTCATCGGTTTAATTAAATGCAAACGAGTCTCTTGTTGCCTTCGAGCTTCATACCATTTTTCATCTGGAATAAAAAAAGAAATAAACAATAAATAGGTAAAAAAACCAGAAATGTGACCAATTAACATACTTTTCTGAGCATATAGAAGTTGAACAGAGTCTAATTGCAATTGAAATTTTGTATAAGAAAGTTTTCTTGCTTCTTCAAGGTTCTAAAGAAAAAAGAGCATTAAAACTTCAGTAAAGATAAGATTAAATAATTCTTGTACACATACTTTTGCGTTTTCGTGCGATATCTCTTGATCTTCATCAGCTCGTTTCAAGGTCAAATGACCGAAATCCATACAGATGAGTGAACAACCGCTAGAAAAAAAGCAGGTATCAATCCTTAAATAAGATAGATGTGCAGTGAACCACCTACTCTTGATAAACGCCATTCGCTGGCAACAGAAAATAGGATGATTGCATATCAATATTAATATCGAGAACTTTGACTTTTTCTAGATTATGTTTCATTAGCAAATAAGAACGTTGTTTAACATCAGTATACGTTGAATACGCAGCTTGTTTAACTCTTGAAATGAAAAAGAAAGATAGAAATAATGAGGTTTATAGTTCAACCTACCCATATAAATTTCGTGCTGTATCAGGTTCAAAACATGTAACTAGTTTATTGATTGTTGGCTAAAATAGACAAAAAAATGACTTAAACAGTGTGTTAGGAATGATCAATATTGGTATACATAAGAGGAATATTTATTTTGACTAGTGCTCGTTGATATTAAGGGAATAGATTTATTTTTACATACCGAATCATACGTGATTTGTAATGATTGTGATAGAACTTGTATTCTGTAATCTGACTTATATTCGATTGGATTTGTTTCAAATTCAACATTTAAAAGATCTTTTTCTTGTTCAATTAACTGAGGCTTAGCTAATACAGGACGATTTTCATTTAAATTTTGCATATTTGTTTCACCCGTTGTCGATAAACCAAATAGTTCAAATGAACGTAAACCTACAGCAACTCTAAATCATCAGAAGATAATTAAAGAAACAATGACATGTATAACAAATATATGTTTTACTTAATTCCAGCGGATGCTGGACGACGTTTAAAATTGACATTTGTACCAGGTACAACTGCACGAGCAACAATGTTAAAACTAAACAAAAAATCATATAGGAATATATATCGTAGATAAAAAACTATCTTACTTTAAATCGTCAGGAGATAATCGAGACCAAATATTTACATCTAACAATTTTAACCCAATAGCAAGATTGATATCAACGTACTAAATATGAAAATGATAAGATATAGATAAGATTTTGGTTCACTAGCAACACTAGTGATGATGATTTAGCCAATAAAACTAGCGTAACGCTATCGAGAGTCCGACTATTCAAACAGACTAAGAATGCATGCGTTTTCTGCGAAAAGTATGTAGCTTAAAAATCCTCAATTCTTATGCAACGTGTCTAATATTTCAAAATAAATAATTAAAACGGTAACGTTGTTGCTATAAAAAACACGAAAAAATAATTAAAAAAGTAGTGATTTCCATCTCAGAAACATTCTACTATTAAAAAGAGTGGCTCGCTCATCATCTTTAAACGAAGATATCCTTACTTACTTCATTCGGATAATCAGCTGATGATGTATTTTCACCTTCGTATCCAATAGCATCATATAATTTCTTCTTTTCATCAGATGACAATACTTTTTCCAAATCAAGTTCTAGAAAGAAAAAGGTTCAAATTGAATATTGACGACCGTTAAGCTAGTCCTATTCATCAACCAATAGCTTGAAATAAGACATTTATTGTTTCTTCTACCTGGATCATTTTTATCTGTATTTCCTGCCCACCAGGTTGACACATTACCCCACCATGTTTTTGGTTCTTGCTCTTTTTTCTTTATCGCCTTGAAATAAAGAGCGATAAGAAAAGCTTGTTCAACAATTGCTCAATTTCTTACTTCAATTTCAGCACTTCGTCGTATATAGGTTAAATTGAATACATCAAGCTTTTTCTCGATTTCCTAAAGAAACAACTAGTACATGAGTAAAGATCTATCAATTTGTATTAAAATTTCTGATCACTTGAGCTCGTTGTTTTTGTTCATATGTTAATTTTCCGGTTAATTCTTGGAAATGTAATGTTCGATATTCTCGACATCGATCCAAATGTGCTTTGATATTTTCCCATTTGTAACAGTCAAAACGCGGACGAACTTCTTCGTTGACAATAACATTATATGCAAATTTCCACCTGAAAAGCAGCAGAACAATTACCCTTCATGCTGATCTGTTAGTTCACAACAGGTTTGTTACATAACGTTTCATTACATTTGTATACAACTTGTACAAAACAACTTACCATTCTTTTGTATTTTTTGATTGAATTTTATGCATTGATCGATACTTAACAAATTTTGTCTGTAATGCAACATAATCTTGAAATTCAAGCAAATCAAGCAAATCAGAGTACTAAAGTAAAAAGTCAAACTTCAATACTTTTGACAGATGATTTACATCAAAGGAAATTGGAAACATTCTCTACTTTTGTTAATTTTACTTACAAAATTCCCAAAAGTTATTCACAGTTTTGCCCGACAAAAAGCTCAGGCCAAGACATATTTTAAATGATGTATGTCAGTAGAACAGTGTTTTTTTTTTGGACATACTTGTTCTCGATTAATATTAAAACTAATCTGGTCCAGATCAATCATAATATCAAACATCGGACGTTTGAAATGATCTTCTCTTGGCTTTGTAACCATTATAAGTTTAGCAATAACATTTAATGGACGAAGAACTACAAAGAGAAACATACGTTTTTCTTTACAACAATGTAAAACTCTGAATCTTACTGTAAGTGATATCATTTGGAATATTATCTTTCGTAGCTATTTTAGAACGTAAATATTCCTAGAATCGGAAAAAAATTGACAAAACATGAGTTAGTAGATCGGGTAATGTCAGGTATTTCATCCTTTGTAACATACCACAACGTCGTTTCTAGACATATCTGAATGTGATTGACTATTTGAATTCCAATAAAATGCCAAAGAACTTAATTCACCAAGCTAAACAGAAAAAGAAACAAGTATTATTTACAATATTTGAAATCATTCAAAAAAAAATGCCAACTTTGAAAATGACTGGTGTGTCTTCTTTCAGAATAACTGGGTTCCATTCAGTATCGGTTGTCTAAACAAACAAAAAATTGACTACTGATGCAGTTTTTGACACACAAGAGATGAAGACTGATTTCGTTTATTTTTCTCTAATTACTCTTAATTCAATATAATTCAGTGTTAATCCAAAAGAAAACGGATGTCCGGGTTTTGTTGTTTTATCTTCATAAGCAATGTGAATATTTCGAATGGATAATTCTAAATTTCGTATTATTGTCAACTGCATACGTTCAACGAATGTATCATGATCTTGTTGACTTTGTTTCGAATTTTCTAGGTGATATAAAAGATTGAGTAATGAATGAGAAGAGAAAATAAATCAACCTTACCATAGGCTTCTTTTTCTTTTCTTAAGCCTTCAATTTTTTGAACTTCTTTCATTTTCGCTTCATATTGTTCATTTTCGTCCTGTTGTGCATCGTACTGAACTTCTACAATGCATATACGAGAAATATATTAAGCCATGTTATTAGAGAGTTTTGTACTCACCAGTTTTTGGTACAACTAAGATATAAAGACCATCGATATAAGCTTTTGTCGGTTGCTTATAAAGGTTTTTCCATGGAATAACAAGAGTCAATTTTTCTAGGGTAAAAAAAGAAAATAGATACAAATCTATTGCTCACTACACGAGCACAACAACACACCTAGATAACCCGTTGATACTGTTACTGGCAAATTGAGGTCAGCCTACGTATAATTGGAGAAGAGAAGTCAGTCTATTTGTTTTTTTTTTAACATCGTACATACTAACCAACGCATTTGGTTTTAAATACAGCTTTTCCAGAACGACATTTCCTAAAATAGAAAAATGATATAAATAAAGTTCATCTACATCAGTAAATTTATGACTTCTTACCATTCCATAAATCAATTTTTAATTTTTTATAATCTAAATTTTCGATGTAATCACCTAAATACTTATCCAAAATATAAACGACAATATTTTCCAACACCATGTTGTCTTAACTTTATTTCTGTCAAATCGACAGCGTTATTTCAAATATCTAAAAATAATAATTAGAATTTTTACTGTAAAGAGAATAGTTTTGTCACCAAAACCTTCCTCAGCCAACGATATCAGGAGTAACGGTAAGGGTGTAACGCGAGTCAAACTTTGTACTCATTCCGTTGCCGAATAAGTTTTTGGCAACCCTATTTTTCAGGATCTTAGAGAAACTTTTGTAAAGATCTAAAAAAGTAATTGTAGGATAAAATCTGGCAGATTCTAAAGTACAGATTACTCACCCCTGATACCGGTGTGTCAAAGTAGATACAAATAGAAAATTTGAATATTTTTAAATATTGAAAAGATATTAATCTTCAGTATTAATTAAGGGTACCCCCCCCCTCTTTTTTCACCTTGTTGCCAAATGCGGAGTACATGTCCGATTGAGCTCAAATTTATAGCAGGGATAGAACACGTCAGAAAAAAAAGAACACGTCAGAAAATTCTGGGCAAAAATACATCGATTTTCTTTTTCGATGTTCTATCCCTGCTATAAATTTGAGCTCAATCGGACATGTACTCCGCATTTGGCAACAAGGTGAAAAAAGAGGAGGGGGGGGTACCCTTAAGATTCAATAAATTCAAAATGGTCTTCCTCAACAGAAATCTATTTACTTTCAGTTTTTCCAAAAACAAATTCAATATCTCTTTCTGTCTTCTCCGAACTCTTATCCTCCGAAAGCAAACTTTAGTCCAAAAGAAAAGCATTGCGTCATGCATATGAAGCAGATGAGTAACCAGGTGAACTTACACACTCTAAACTTGCCACGGCCACGCTAGATTTTCCACGGGCAGGACGCGTTACGTGGCCGTGGGCATGCATGTGACAAAGCCACGTCACGTGGCTTGCTAAAATTCTTGCAAGCTCGCCATGTTATGTGACTTGCTTTTCTGACTGCCCTACAGAAATGTCCAGTTTGCCTGATCAGACTACTGATCAGTAAACTGTAAGTAAAAAAGTCCTTGTCCTGTTTTCTTGGTCAGGATCTGTTTTTTTTCCTGACCAGTGAAAGAAATCAAGAACAGGACCTGCTTTTTGGATAGTCATCACACATTTAACTAATACTCCGGCGTTAAAAGTGACTATAGTTTTTTCAAGTTTGATTACATCATGTTTTACTCGGACTTTTCTTCGAGAACATGATGTAAACAGTTTTTGAGGTTTTTATCAGCCTCATGATCCCTTTAGGACCTCACAATCTTTATCTGCAAATGCAAAATGGCATGTTTTTACGGAACTGATACGTCAAAGACAAAGGATTCAGTGCAAGTACACAGCAATTTTAGCGCTCTAATGCCTCATGTAAACCCTACTTGCGTTTTCTTGCCATAATGCTGAACTATTTTCGAACTGTTTTAAGTTAATAATAAGCTCTGAGACTTCCAGTCAAGAAATTTTCTATCTTGGATGAAGTTTTCAATCCCGCTTCATGCGCGTCTCAATTATGACTCGACATATAACGGGCATAATAAAGGCGAGAGCAGTTGATGTTTTATGGTTCGCGTATGAATATTACCAATAAGGTGACGTTTGCTGCATGTGAAGAAAACATTCACGCTTGAACTTTCAGAGAGTGTATACCCGGAGATATTATCGCTAACGAGGGAACCTCCCTAAATAAAATATACTCTCGTTTTTTTAACGAAATGTAGTAGGTTATAGGTAATCGACCACGCTGATTTCGAATATGATGCTCATTTGGGTTCATAGGCCTTTCCTAGCTGGTTTCTGGAAAATCAGTTTCGAAGAATTTCCAAAACTTTTTCTAAATAAGTCACAATTGTAGCCCGCAAAATTCTGATCAAAATGAGACGTCACCCAGTTCTACACGACCTTTCTTTACAAAGTTACAGAATTTACAAGAAAAGCCCTAAATTCCTTTTTCTTTGTGTAGCTCTGAGGTAACAATGAACATTTAGGGCTTTTCCTGTAAAGTCTATAACTTTGTAAAGAAAGGTCGTGTAGAGCTGGGAGATGTCTCATTTCGATCAGAATTTTGCGAGCTACAATCGTGGCTTATTTAGAAAAAGTCTTGGGGATTCTTCGAGGTTTCTGGAAAACTGATTTTCCAGAAACCAGCTAGGAAAGGCCTAACCCAAATGAATATCATAGTCCAAATCAGCATGAACGGTTACCTACAACCTACTACGTTTCGTTAATAAAACGAGAATACATTTGGGAAAGTTCCCTCATAAAATCAGTTCGTTATTAGAGCCAATTTAATATTCTGTGAAGTACTCATATCTGACGCACATTTCTTGAGAAATGCCCATTTTTGATACCCAGGATAGCTAAAGGAAGAATGTTCAGCTTTGCGATAATAAGCGTGGTAAGGATTTAAGCCTCTCTACCTTTCTTCAGTGAGACTACCGTACACTTCCCTCACGGCTGATCAGTGCTTGTTTTTGGAAAATGTCAAGACCAGTCCAAGATTTACTGTTTATCTGCAATCAGTAGAAAAAACAGATTTTCTTGACCTGTTCTTATCACTTTCGTGTTCTGGTATTGGAGCCGATCAGGACAAGAAAATAAAAACAGGAAACGAACAACTGTAAGTAAATAAGTCTGTACCCTGTTTTCTAGACAAGATAAACTGAACATTCTCTAAGGTGATATTCCCCAATGATCAGGTGGATCACTGGACCAGTTTTTCATCGAGAGATAAATAAATATACATAGATAACAACTTTGGAGTACCGAAGAGAACTTAATGTAACAAATAAGCTTATTAAACAAAAAGAGTTGAATTTCAAAGCTGTTCTTGTCGAAATTATACGCAATTAATCTGCTTTAAACCGTATAGGGAAAAAATCACAATGCTAAATACGTTTGTCACATGACGTCGTACTTGGCGTGGACACAACCGTGTGCCTACACTTTGGGTGATTTAATTCATACACTTGCAGTGGCTACACCATGGATAAATGTAGGGCCACATCACGCCGTACATGGTCGCGCCAAGGATCGAGTGTGTGAGTAGACCTGGGTAGATCAATCTGTACTTTAGAATCTGCGCCAGGTTTTATGCTACGATTAGTTTTGTAGAGATCTTTACAAAAGTTTCTCTAAGATCCCAAGAAATAGGGTTGCCGAAAACTAGTACTATCCGTTCTTCTTCTGTTATGCTTCATTGGTTCCTGTAGAATAGCTAGATTTGCAGAACAAATTTCCTATCAGCCCAAAATGCACCAATAAGTGCAGTTTATATTTTTGCTGTCACTTTGAGCGCTAGTAGCGCTCAGCAAGCTATATTTCTCTGTAAGTCATACATTTTTTTTTATTCAAAGCACAAATGAAAAACGCACGGAATGATGCATTCAAAAACCAAAAACAGTACAATGTATTTTATAATACACCTGAGTTAATGCATGTCAAGCCTACCATCATTACACGGACAAACTGTGTCACCCATAAAATCGTAAGTACAAACTATGCGCATGCACATTAACCTGATCGAGAAATTTTGAAAGCTAGTTCGTTTAAAAAATAACTGCAGATTTAGATTCTCCAGCTGATAGGCGATTAAGTTGAACACGGTAAATTTCTGATCAATGCACTGTTGAAAAACTTCCCAATGTCGTTTAGTCTATAGTCCTCCCTATCAATGAACTTTTCAAAAAATTATTAGGCAAAGGAATGGGTATAACGTTTTCAGACGCTTCGTGGTTTAAATGTTTAGACGATTTTTTAAATTAATCAACTATGTACAGTCCGAACCTGCAGTCGGTTTCGACCGAACCGACTTTTGAAATTTCTAGATTACATTAAAAAAAAGTTTCTTGAAGTGTGTCGCGTTCATATTGCGCCGTGTCGGAGAACACGTATGAAATGTGTGCAGCCCAGGTGGAAGGCGTCTTACAAGATCTGATGATTTCTTATGCAATCTTGCTACAAGATCTTTTGGCAAGCTCTGGTAAGAGCTTATCCAAGATCATGTATGATCTTGCGGATCATGTTCTCGAAGAAAAGTCCGAGTAAAACATGATATAATCAAACTTGAAAAAACTACAGTCACTTTTAACGCCGGGGTATTAGTTAAATGTGTGATGACTATCCAAAAAGCAGGTCCTGTTCTTGATTTCTTTCACTGGTCAGGAAAAAAAACAGATCCTGACCTTGTTGTAAGATCTTACAAGACCAGTTTATAAGAAATCTTAAGATCTTATAAGATCTTGTAACAAGAAGTTATATGATCTTGCAAGATCTTGTCAGTTCTTATCACAAGATCATACGATTTCTGGTTACAAGATCTTACAAGAAGTGATGACTCATTCTTTGCAACGATATATAGTATATAAAACACAGTTCTTATGACGAATCTTAGAATTTTTTCTGTCTCCAACTGTACACATCAGCTGAGCATAAATAACGTGCATGGGCTATAAGAAACGTGGTTAGATACGTTCCTAAGGACGTCAGAGTCCTTTCTATGTTCGAAAATATTATGAAAAGAAAAAAGCTGTTTTTTAAAGGGGGTCTGTAGGGGATCTATACGACAGAATCAGAGACATAATCTTGTAAGATCTGATAAATTCTTATATGATCTTATGAAATCTTTCAAGGTCATATTCCAAGATTCTTCGCCCTGAGAGGTAGGCAGTCTGTAAACATCGTGTGCGATGGCATATGGAGTATGCTCTGAAGCTTGTCTTATCAACAAGTGCCTCATAACTGAACACATTCGATAGTGCCTCTGCAGAAAGCACGATTCTTGGATCTCACAACTTGTTTCAGATGGAATATTTCCTGTCCAGAGATGGGCGGGTACGAGTAAATACTCGTATTCAGGTATACTCGAGTACAAATTTTTGAATACTCATACTCGTAATCGCGACCTTTTTTAATTGGTACTCGAAAAAGTACTCGTATCGAGTACTCGGATGAAAATCTGTTTAACTAAAAAAAAAGGAATTCAGAAGAGACTGATCGATATACTATCATCTGCTGAAGTTTTTTTAAAAATTTTTTATAAGGCATTATAAAAACCTTATAAGATAATTATAAAACTAAAATCTTACCGAAATCTTATTCAATTCTTATAAGATTCATATATTGCGAATTATAAGAATCTTATAATTACAGTATGCATTTCTCTCGACTAGAGTATATAAGATTTCAAAAGATTTCTATAAGATTCTTATCTGATTTCCGTACTTTCGGTCGGCTAGGGTCTGTCCCTGTTATGTGTTACATTGAATGTATCCTGTTTTCTTTCATATACCATTTCAAGTGAAAGATTCAAGAATCCTAGATCTTGACTTCCCGGTGTATTTTTCAAGATCTTGTGACATTTCTTAACCCAAGATCTTGGGTACAAGAAGTTTCATTAGGTACGATAGATTTGCAAACAAATTTTTACAAAATTATGCACTTTTGGCTTTGAAATTCAAATGTTGGTGCAGTGTAATTTTCAAAAGTTAAAATAACTCAAATTTGAATGTTTACGTTACTGTCAAACAATTTGAACGGGAACTACAAACTGAGTATAATCAACGTATTTTAGGAAACTCTAAGAAAGTTTTTCTTGCTGAAGAACAATGGAGATTTGTTTTGTCAACAAATACAGCCGTGCTATTCAAAATACCGCTCGTAAAACTGAAATCTTTTCGTACTAGCGTCCAAAAATCAGGGCAGGCTTAAAAAAATGTTTTACTCCTCTCTAGTATGAATTTCATTGTTATCGCCCAAATTTTTACTTGAAAAATTACAAAAAAATTTAGAAATGGCTAAAAAGCACCCGTGTGCTATCATTAACTAAATTAAATTTTTGACATGTTTTGACATTAGCGAGACTGTCGAGTCTCTCTTTGTGAAGATGCATAATCAAAACATGATTTAATCGAGTTTGTTTTACTGTCAATCGTAAAGAGTCCTTTAGTCGATTTGACTAACTAAATGTTCGGTTCGGTGACGCTATGGTAATGGTATAGTTAAATATAATCAAAGCAGTTTATAATATTCACGAAACATATCTTTGCAAATTTTTCGCAATTGATAATGTTACAAATGGCGCAGATTTTTGAGATTACTTTACGTCTAGTTCATGTCTGACAATGACTTGCTTCGCAAAAATGGATAGCAAGTTGTATTCGAAAGTCACCATTCTTCGGCGTTAATGTCATCTTTTAAAAACGTTTCAATCGCATACAACGACGACCCATGTGAAGGAAGTCGCGATTTTCTTAAAAGTCGTTTTTATAATGTCGTGATTTGTCGTCAATTTTTATTTTTTTTGTAAGTCACTCGAGTCGATGACTAATCGACTTTCCACTCATTCACCGTTTTGTTTTGCTAAACAGCAGCATACAATATAATAAGAACTAAGAAAAAGTACTAGTTAACTGGTCGTTTTCAGAATTATACAAGGGAGTGTAAACGGACCGTTCAGTTCAACCTTATATTAGTTTGTTTTCTGATTGTCATTCTCCTTGGATAAGCAACATTAAATGAGTGTTTCTTTTCATGATAGATAGCGCTGTCTGTTGCACAATGGATCATGGTAACTCCGTTTGCTGCGTATCTTCTACCTTATTTATGATGCTGCATTTAATGAACTTTAAACTATAGTTTGTAACAAACTATCTTATTCCTGTAAATTATCAAAGTAATTAGAGGACTTAGTAATTAACGGATGAAGTTGGAATATAGTATCTTATTTAATTCAAGAAAAGGCAAAAGTAAAAGTGGACTTTTTTACTTTTTTTCGGAAACATCAGAAAATAAGAAATAAAACATATGTAAACAAGGTGCTTCTTCCTCACAACGGTCTTCTCTTACAATTTTCGTGTTCCTAGATAAATGGAATAATGGGTTTGAAGTTCAACTAGATAGACTTGACTCGGTAGAAAGTTTTAGAATAAAAAATATTGCAGTCTTTTGTATGACGTTTATGAGTGCACCGTTTACCGAAATAAAAGAAAGGTCTTTGCGCCATGGAATATTTGTGTCTCATTCAGTCAAACCTCGAATATTAGTCGTTACGCTTCTATAACGTAATAAGTAGTAAGTAATATACACAGTATAAGTTTACACGTGGACCGAGGCTTTAAGTGTGTTCACTAATTCATTCAGAAATCAATTTTGTGATTCTGAAATCTATCAGACAAATTTTTTTGATTCAAATAAAGTTCAGATAATATCTCAGTTCTGTTTTGGTTTTGTCTGATTACCTGCCAATACTACTAAGACAAATGTTGTGTATAAGGCTAGACTAAAAATAAGGTGACATGTATTTCTTTACGTTCTGTGTAAACATACTTTTCTATATTATATTATTTTTTTGCGAGTACGATGTTGCTTTAAAGAAACTTTTTTACAACTTAAATGAAGTATGTATTCGGTGGCTGTGATTCGTGGAAATCTTGATGTTCCAACCATGAGTATTTTTGACAAACTGGATCTCTTTTATACGTTTTCTCGAATTAACATTTAGTCAGAAAGTAGATGTTGTAATAGAAAAAAATAGAGCAATCCGTTTTGTTTTCAAATTTTATTTCCTGTCTGCAAACTTTTAATACTTAACGCATAAGCTAAGAGCGCGTATCCACGTACCCTATTTACTCCATCGAGATATTCTCAAACTGTTGTTTTTCAGAGCCTCTGCACTCATACGAATTCTTTCGACATTCTAACAAAGAAAAGTCTGTAAGCTCTGTTTAGATCACTATATTTTACCTACATGCTCTAGATTAAAAAAAGGAATGAAAGTATAAAATGACTAATAGTCAGCATTGAAAAAGTGTGGTTTGAATTATAATTTTCGTGTTTTCTGTTGTGGATGACCATCGAAACTGGATATTCTTGTTCGTTCTCATTCCCACTCAAGTGGTAATTCGAGTGTTGCTGCAGCTACTGCTTTAATGATGATATCTCCAATGGCTCACGGTGGTGGGTTAAATTCACGGAGCCCAGCTTCTGGTGCTACAATGACTGCTTCATCCTCTTCCTCATCAACGGCAATAAATTCAACCAATGGCAGTACAAATGGTGGAGGTTTAGTTGGTCCATCGTCGGATGCATGTATGGGTATTGTTCATTCCTTAATGTGCCATCGACAGGGCGGGGAATCAGAAACATTTGCTAAACGAGCAATCGAGAGTCTTGTAAAAAAGTTAAAAGATAAAAAAGATGAACTAGATGCACTCGTAACAGCAATAACAACAAGTGGTACTCACCCGACTAAATGTGTAACTATACAACGAACATTGGATGGACGATTACAAGTACGACTAGCACAGTTCATGATCCTGCTTTAAAATTATAAATATATTTTATTTGACAGGTAGCAGGACGAAAAGGTTTTCCTCACGTGATTTATGCTCGTATTTGGCGATGGCCTGATTTACATAAAAATGAATTGAAACATCGGAAATTTTGTCAATTAGCATTTGATTTAAAACAAGAATATGTTTGTGTTAATCCATATCATTACGATAGAGTTGTATCACCTGGAATTGGTAAGTGGTCAATAAATCAAAAAAATATATGAACAGCGAATCAGTTATTTGAAGCTAATTGTGGCTATTTCATCGTTTTACAACGTTTAACAATGATTCATATTTTATTTGTTTTGTGTTTAGATCTTGCCGGTTTGCCACTCGTACCACGTTTTCAATTGCTTGGCCATGGTCCATCACACAATGATCCGTCTTCATCAAATGATAGAGATCATTATTCAAACCAAGATGGTTTTCGTTACATAAAAGGTAAACATTTCTTTTACATTTTTCTAAAACATTTGTAATAAATTTTATAGATGAACGAAGTTCACCTCAACCTCAGAGCGTCGTTCAACCTCAAGTACCAGACACAACAAGTCCAAGTCCACCACATCAGTTTAATGGAACAAACATTCAACATTCATTTCCACCAGCATCCATAATACAACAAGGTAAATGATCTTACTTTGATAACATATGTTTAGACTAATATCTCGATAGCTAATGGATAGAGAACATTGTCCTGAAGTCAATTTACAGCTGAACTTTATTTTACAGCTCTGTCTGTCATACTCAATAAGTTAAGATCGGAATTTTCGAGGGATCTTTCGTTCGCTATCACTCATAATTCATTGAAATTATCTATTCCAGGGTCTAACGACGGTCCAGTTCCATCTTGGTCTTCGACAACTACTTCAATGAATATAGCAGCAGTGGCAAACAATTTATGTAACTTTATTTCTTTTTGCATCTAGAGGTTGATAGAAGTCATTCTTATTTCTTTTTTGAAGGGCAACAGCAACAGTCTCATCACCCGTCTTTATCTGATTTAGTTCCAAATATTTTGACTCGTCCACCACCTCCACAACCATCAACTCTGTCATTATTAAATAGTTTTGGTGAATATTGGTGCAGTATATCTTATTATGAACGTGATATTCAAGTGGGTGAAACATTTAAAGTACCAGATAATTTTAAAGAAGTAACAATTGATGGAGGAATGGATATGGCGACAATTGGCGATCGATTTTGCCTTGGCCCGTTATCAAATGTATACCGAACAGATGCAAGTGAAAAAGCAAGGTACTCATATATGAAATAATCGACAACCTTTGATTCTATATTTTTGTTTTACTCTTCGCTGTTCAGATTACATATTGGAAAAGGTATTCGTTTAAATTGTCGAAGTGAAGGCGATATTTGGATTCGTTGTAACAGTGAACAAGCCATATTTTTACAAAGTTTTTATTTGGATCGTGAAGCTGGTCGCGCACCGGGAGATGCTGTCCATAAAATATATCCGCAAGCACATATAAAGGTAAGAATAAATATTGTGTTTTTAGGTAAATTATGAGTATAAGTCTGTCTAGGTGTTTGATCTTCGTCAATGTCACACGCAAATGCAACAACAAGTTCAAATGGCATTAGCAGATAGAAACTCTATGGCTGGTAGAATGCAGTCACAAGGTAAAGTTTGTTCTTGGCTTCTAGGTGGCTAGTATAAAACATTATTATTGATTTCTTTTTGTTTTCTAGTTTTATCAACACCGAATATCGGTGTCGATGATTTACATCGTTTATGTGTTCTTCGACTTAGTTTCGTCAAAGGTTGGGGTCCAGATTATCCTCGTCAATCAATAACAGAAACTCCTTGTTGGGTTGAAATACAAATTCATCGTGCATTACAATTTTTAGATGATATGTTTAATTCAAGGAATGTTACAACATTAAATCATAGTCTTGCAGCAGCTGTAGCTGCAGCGGCAAATAGTTCCGTATCAGCTTCCTCATCGTCGTCTTCTTCCACAACAACAACGACAAAGGATCAACATTATTCAATGGATTCCTAAGGAAAGAAAGCCGATTTTTCATTGTTCTAATTTATTTTCTTCATCATTTTATGGCAATCAGTGTTTCAAAACAGTTGGACGTGGCCATTTTTCAGTGTACAAACAATTTCGCGCGCGAGCGTGTCTATGTAAGCGCAGCATTAATTCAGGAAACGTTTTTTTTTTTAATGTTAAAAATAATTATTTCTTTGTTTTTTGTCTATCAATTAAACATGCACACATGTTTACGCTCAATAATACTTATTTTTTGCTCCTTTCTCAAAGAATGGATTTATATAGCCTTACTTTGTTAATGTTTTTTTTTCTTGCTAGTTGAAATTATCATTCATGTTCACTAGCTTTTTTATACATTGTAAACTACTTATTTTGTTTATTCTTCTTGCTAAGCATTTAGTCTGATCGTTAAAATAGTTTGTTCTTTTTTTCAGAAAAATTATATATAGGCACACGTACACAGAATTTATTATGCTAAGTATGATACGGAAATATTAAAAATTTATTCAGGAAAAAAGTTGAGAGAAATACTCATTATGCAAAGGAAGACTGACTTTCAAAAAGAACAGGGGATAAACCTTTTTAGCTCAAAACATTATTCTCATCGTTAAGAAGGAAAGTCGGTGAAACTTTTATTCAAGAGAGACTCGTTTATAATTAAAAAAAATGCTCATAGAGTTCTGTAAAATTTTTTAGAAAATTTTTATTTCTTTAAAATTATCTTTTTAATTTTTTTCTAGTTTTTTTTACTGAATCTTCTGGTCTTTTTTTGCATCCATGAGAAATCAATGCATACTTTACTTATCGATTGAATTTCTTTTCTAAAAGTAAAGAAAAAAAAAATTAATGCCAATTTGTTGTATTGTTTTTGTGTTTTTTATCTAATCGTCTAAAGGGCTTGAAATAATTAGTCCTCGAGTTAAATAATAAAATCTCAATAAATCAACACGTGTATGTCCGTTTGTTTTACTATGTTTTGATGTGATTTCTTATTTTTATTCTTTGTATTGTTATTTTTCGACTTTCATTTTATTGCTACTTGACTATTAGCTCTATATTATATTCATTTTTAACATTACAATCTTATAGACAAATAGACAAATAAATATGAAAAGAGACAATGAAAAAAAGTTCCTTTTTTGATGTGGACTTGTGATGATTAAGATAGGAAAGGTGACAGCTCTGTTGTTATATAATTTTGACACAAATCGGCTTTTTTTTCAAGAAAACAATAAAAGAAAAAACATTTGACATATGAAACGAAACAAATAGCATGTACGAAAAGAGATATTACCTTATTTGCTAGATTCTTACTGCAAGTGTAATAAATCGAATAAAATTATGATTCATTTTTCGAACTTAAACAACATAGAGATGGTTTTTTTTATCAAAAAGAAAATGCTGGTTATTAGCTAAGCTGTTGATTTTTTGCCCAGGCTAATGTATTGTATTAGTTTCTACGAGTAGCAAGATTACTCTTCTCTTTAAGAAGAAGAATTTCATATAAGAATATAAACTTATATATCAAATGTTTACAAGAGGGTAAGCGATTGTTATTAAGATCTTTGACATCTTGCACACCACTCATTCTTCCAATTTTGCCATTCCAATGATTTAAATTCATTGAATTTATTATTTATTATTTTGTAAAGCAGTCAGAAAAACAGCCATGAATGTGAAATAATCATTTCTTTTAAAAACGTTTTGAATTTGAGGGAAAGATTAAACGATGATTTTTGTATTTTTAAGTTAGAATTTTTATCCACTATTTTTGTTTTCTAATTGTTATAATATTTTAACAGTAGACAAAGGAGAGTTGAAAACATATTGCTCAAAAGACTGAATTTAGAAAAGACTCATTAAGTCCGAACTACCAAAACATCTCGTATTATTACGATGAATCAACGACATTCTTTCCTATACTGCATGAGACTTTCAAAAACACGTTGAAATTTCTTACATATGATCACAGTTTGTAGAGTAAAACACCGTTGTTTTCAAAGGCAGAGATTCGATAAAGTCATCTTTCGTTTTATTATGAGACCCCTAGGAAAATCGAGAACTAAAAATTTACTAAAATCAAATTCTGAGTGCTGATTTCTCCATTCTATACAATAGATCATCAATAACTGTATCAAAAACAAACATTACAAATGGAAAACAAAAATACTTTGCCTTTTTCTTGTAACAGTACCAAAGACGGCTTTTAGGTCATTAATCAAAACTGTAGAAAAAATTGTCATTCTGTTTTTTGACGCCATATGATATTTGCTGATGATCATATACTATTTATTATTACATATTCAGAAGAACATAAAAAATCTGCGTCATTTTATCCATCTTAAACATTGGTCCAAAACAGAAAGTTAAAGAAAGTTTGACTATAATATTTTTAACCACGGCAGTTTTTTCATAAAAAACTGTAAAGTAAAAAATAACATAACCAAAACTCTACTTTTTCGATGTTGTAAACAAATTAATTATCTGATTATTGCGCAATTAAACCATATTAGTCATCGCTGGTAAAAAGAAATGCGTCAATGTTTGGATTTGACATATTCTATGCAGTTTTTGGTGTGAAGTCATTGCAAGAAATTAGAAAAATGAGAAACTAGCATATTTCGTGATTCAAAATTTTGACTCAGCATTAAGAGCATTCTTCTTATGTTTTGTAACCAAAATATGTAAACGTTGTACAAAAAAGGTTTCATTACAGTATAAATAGGATTGTTGAGTCATTCTTCAACTGTATATGATATATATATATGTTTTTTGACTGTTGAGTATAAAACTATTGTAGATTTTATTTAAGCAACATCAATGGCACACGGTATATCCGATGACGATTTAACAAAAAAAGAAATATACGATGCACCAGATGTATTAGATAAAAAATTGGATCAGTTAGTCGAATGGATTAAAGCTAGTAAACATTTTATTATATTCACTGGTGCAGGAATTTCAACGAGTACGGGAATTCCAGATTTTCGATCAGGAATGGACACTCGCTTATCAACAGGTCCTGGCGTTTGGGAATTGTGAGTGTTCATCAACAAATTGAAATATTAATTAGTTCTGTTAATCTTCTGATTGTTAACGATAAATAGTGTTTCTTGTGTGTTTTTAGACGTGATAAAGGTGAAGCACGTTCAAAGAAGGCTACTGTGACTTCAAGTACAAAAGCTATTCCATCTGTCGCTCATATGGCCATTGTTGAATTAGCTCGTCAAGGTATTATTAAATTTGTTATTTCTCAAAATACAGACGGATTACATCTTCGTTCGGGAATCAAATCAAGTATGTTAGCAGAATTACATGGAAATTCAAATTTGGAATATTGTCAAAAATGTGGAATTAAATATTTAAGAGATTATCGTACAAGAACAGCGGGTAAAGTACATGATCATAATACCGGACGCATATGTACGAATTCAAAGTGTAATGGATCACTATTAGACAGTATTATTAATTTTGGAGAGTCGTTACCGAATCAAGAATTAACTGCAGGTTTTGAACATGCAAACAAAGCTGATCTATGTCTTGTACTGGGATCATCATTGAGAGTTACACCAGGTATTTAACAGCAATTATAAACTTTTAATAATTAGTATATTTGATTATTTTCGTTATTTAGCTGCTAATATTCCTGAAGAAGTAGCAATCAAAGGTCAAAAATTAGTAATCGGAAATTTACAATTGACTCCAATGGCATCTATAGCAAAATTAAATATTCATGCAATGTGTGATGAAATTATGAACGGTATTATGAATAAATTAAATATTCCAATTCCAAATTGGGAACTCCATCGTCGAATACGTATTGTTATTCAGTCGAATCAAATAACAATGACCGGTTTAGATTTAGATCAAGAACATATTCCCTATAGTCTGTTTACACAAGTAAATGTTTCTCTACGATCTGGTACAAGTGAAGTATATAAGTCAAAGCCTCTAAAAGAACCCATTTCACATAAAATAGATTTAACATCGATTAAAAAACCATCTTCGATACAGTATGATTTATATGCGGAAATTCATTTTCAAGGACACTATAATGAACCGATTTATACATTAAAATTACCATTTGTTGATCAACAACAGGACATACATCTATTTTATGATCCAAAAACGAGAATTTGGAGACAAGAATAAACAACTGTCTAGACATGTGTATATAAGAAAAACTTTTTTATTTTTTTAACGAAGTCTATTGTCTATTTCGTTTTTTATTTTATTTTTATTTATTTGTTGTTGTTTTTTGTATGTGAAAATAAATAATCAAACTAGAAAACAACTGGTTTTCATATGTGAAATTTTATATTATTGATAAATATTTTTTTATCAACAATGAAAGAAATGTTATGTCATAAGTATTTCCTTCGAGACTATTAATTATTTTCTCTCATATTTTTGTATCAAAAATCAAATCCATGTTTTCATCTCTTTTTCATTTCTCATCTGACTTCCAGACAAGTTGGCTGATATTGTTCTTCTTCATTTCTTTTTTTTCCACAGAAGTGAATATGCACAGTACAAAGGGCAATCATTTTTAATATGTTTATGAATGAAAATTATAAACTCAAATGTCATGTCTAATAAATTTTTATCAATGAAAACTCCATCTTCTTCATCATTCACAGTTTTTATATGATATAATTGGTATATTGATATTCTTTAACAAGCTTAACATATTGAGAAATATCGATCATATGGATGATTTACCATGTCATTTATTCATGATCATTAATCCCAATAACGTTGTATTACAATTGGCTAAACGTCTATTATATTAAATACTAACGAATGAACCATTAAAATACAATTATTATTTTTATTTATTTTCATAGGATAAAAATTTTAGCCATTTGAAATGATAAGAGGTAATGTTAATAAAAATCTTTTAAAATGGAAAAAAAGACATTCTCGTTTTTATTCTTTTAGAATCGTTAGTCATATTAACAGAATTACGTTAAGTTAAAAAATTATTTCTAATATCCAATTAACTATTAATCATGAACTCCTATATAATATAATAATTGAGAAAACAGAATTATTTTAATCTTTTCTATTAACCATATATAAACCATAATAGCATCATCAACAAGTACTGGTAAACAAATATGGTATGAATTCAACAACAAATTTCCTTTTTATTTACATTAAGGCCATTGATGAAGTGTTAAGATGTATTATTTTTATTTTAAAACCTATTGAATTTTTGATGACATTCATTATTAAGAAAAAACTCTCAATCTACAAATGTCAATACTTTTCTCAATAAAATATTTGCACAATTATTTTAAATGTGCATCTTTAATCACAGTAGAAACCCTTTTCATCAAACTAATTCATATGTGTTAAAGCATATTTTTAAAATCATATTTGAAACAATCAATTTGCAATTTTATTAATCAACAAGTAAATTTTGTTTTCACCTTTTAATTTTCTTTCTAAAATGGCATTTTTAATTTCAGACAAATTATACTGTAAATTTGAATTTGGAATTGAAACTATTTGGCTTTAAATGATCCTATAGAACTAGACAACAGGAATTTAATATGGATGTAAGACGAATTTTCATTTCTTTTTTAACCATATTACTGTCAATTGTATAGTTGTTATTAGAAGATGGATTCGTCTTTTTCCTAAAACTTTTTCGTATAAGTTAAATAATGAGTTGAATAAAATCCAAAATCCTGGTGTTTCGAATCAAACATGATTTATTACAATATCATTTAACAATTATTTTTATTGAAAACGTTTGAACTAAATATGAATTAATTTTAAGTTATTCTGAAAAGATTATTTTCTATCATTAAACATATACATTGATCCATTCTTTCGATGATTTAAATGAACCACGCAATTTCGATGATTCTCGTCAACAAGATCAAATATGGAGAAAGATAATAAAATATTATAACCAAAAATATTTATCTTAGTACCAGATACTATTCAATGCTAGCAACGATCTACAACATGTATTTCATGAGAAAAACAATTTCTTTTTTATCTGTAGTATTTTTGAAGTATTTGTTAGCATTTAAAATTAGCTTTGATGTTTTTTTTGTTACTCTAACTATGAGAATGAGGAAAAATAATTTTTTATAGTTACGATTGATTTTTTTTTATAATGCAATCTTATTATTTTGTCAGATAGATAGTTATGTTATCCATTAGCTCGCTATCATATTTTCTATTGTTTTTTATATTTTTTTGATTTATATTTCTTTCGACTTAAGACAAAGACTAATGGACTAATAAAATTCGAACGTTTTCGTCACTTTTTTTGGAAAACTAGCTTGTCTCTTGTTTCGAAACATTACTTAAAATACAGACGTTCTGTGAAATTTATTACTGAAGGCAATACTCAATAGTCTTGTTAACACATAACTCTAACGTTTAAAATATCACCTCTTTCCAGATGGATAATAGTTTTAAATGGATGACACATCGACGATTATTCTACGCTACACTAAACATTTTAATGTCATCTGGAGCCACGTAAAATCTGCGAAAAGTTAAACATAAATGAGTTTTTTTATCTAGTTGATATTATTTAACACCAGAAATGCATCAGACACCAGTGCGAGTCAGTATGTCAAATCACGATTTTCCATATTTGTATTTCAGATTAGAATAATGTAAGCAGAGCTAGGTGAGTTCGAAGAGGAGCAGTACCGAGTCCTGAGTCCATTTTGAGTCCGATAATTTTTTCAAACCTTTTTGGCTGTCGTTATTTATATTTCTTTTCTCCTATATCGTACAACACATCAATCTTATTATAATAAAAAGTTACATATGTAAACTTCTATTGTATATCCCATACTGGTATTGAAAAATTGAACATTTGTCTGTTGAATTATGTGCGAACTTGAATCGATCGGACTCATACACAGAAATTCAAGTGCGAGTCCGAATCGTTCGAAAAAATCTCCAGTCCGAATCCGGACTCACCCAGCCCTAGATGTAAGATGTCGAAAATTCAAAATTATAACAAATTCTTTTTTTCATTTATTTGCACATGTTTGGATAGAGCACATCGAACTGAGTAAGAACGTGATTTTTAATTTTTTAGAAAGTAGACTTGAAGTCATGACTTCAAATCTACTTTCTAATCACGTTACTCAGTTCGATGTGCTCTATCCCAACATGTGCAAATAAATGAAAAAAAGAATTTGTGATAATTTTGAATTTTCGACACCTTACATCCACGCGTTTCTTCACACCATTCTTCCAAGAGTTGATAATGAAATAAGAGAAGGTAAGTATTATTGTTGCTTTTGTATTAGAAAGATAGTCATCTTTTTATAATTTTGTTAAAGAAAAACATAATTCTTCTTCACTTTCGTGCATTATTAGAGGGTCATACAGTTCTGTCCTTGTATTGTTCTGTCGCTTGTATGCATCTGCGTATTATCATACACACACGTGTACACAAAAACAAGAGAAAAACTATAGACTAGTTATCAAAGAGTAGGAAAAAGTGTAATGACTCGTATCTTATAATTATCTAGAATATAGCGACAAAAATTTTTATGTATTCGTCATAAAGAGGAACACAGTGCCCTAGAGAGATGTACATAAAGATCGCGCGCATGCGAGATTTTTCTTTTATTTGTCTTATTGCTCATTTCTTCTTTTTCTTCTGTTCTGTTCTAGTTTTTTTACATTATTATCGATTGAAAAAAGAGAAAAGAGAAAACAATAGATATATTTTTTACAGATGGGTGCAAAGTCGGTTAAACCCGTCGAATTGAGCAAAGAAGATATTGAGTTTATTTCGAGAAAATCAAAACTTGATCCTGAATCGGTTGAAGAATGGTATGAAAAATTAAAGGTTAGTTAACTTAAAGGAAAATATTAGACAAATTGTCTGTTACTACTAATTTGTATGTTTGTGTTATAGGCTGCCTGTCCAAAGGGTACAATAGAAAAAACTGATACAAAACGTTTTTTAAAAGCAATTGTTCATGAAAAAGATAAAGAAGAAACGATTGATAAATTAGCTGATGAAATTCATCGTTCATTTGATACAAATCATGATGGAAAAGTTGGTAAGAAAAACGCAGCGTAATTTATATATTTTTCTTTTATCTTGAAACAAACTCATGTATTAGCGTGTATTCTACTTTCTACAAAAATTTCGTAGCGTACAAAATGGATATCGGTTCTCACATTTGCTTCTCATAGAAATCGATATCCATATCGTATAGCTCTGTTTAATCATGCTTGAACGTTGTCTTTCTCGTGTCAAAATGGATTAACGACTAACAATAAAAAACTGGCTATACGAATATCGATTTCTATCAGAAACAAATGCGAAAACCAATATCCGTTTGTGCACTACGAAATTTTTTTAGAAAATAGAAAATCGTGGGTTTTCTCTCTTGACAAGCAAGATTTAACGTCTGAGAATGAAATATACAGTAGACTCATTGTACATGTTTTGTTAAACGATAAAAGTTCTAAAGATGTATATTACGTTTTCATTATTTTATTAGTGTTATTGTCATTCAGATTGGCGTGAATTTCTTATTGGTTTTGCATTAACATCAAGTGGAAGTTTAAAAGAACGGCTGAAATACGTCTTTCGAACATATGATCATGACAATGATGGAGTAATTAATAAAAAAGAAATTGATAGAATGGTTAAGGTAAGTGATCGATATTGAATTGGATTCAGAGTAGTTTTGATTCTTAGATTGAATTTTATTTGTTCAAATCTGTGTAGGAGTTTCGGACAAATTCTGTTTTGGGCACGGAAATTAGCCGAAATGGACACGGTTTGCCAGTTTCCGTGCCCAAAAAAATCTTTTGACTGTTTTGGGTACGGTTATTTATTTGGGAACGGTAATTAGCCGAAATGGACACGGTTTGCCAATTTCCGTGCCCAAAAAAACCGTTCGTCTTATTTGGGCACGGTTTTCCTTTCTGAAACTCGGGAATGCTGCACTCCATTCGCTTAATCATTCTATTCGTGCTCAAACTACATGTGCTCCTTCGCCTGTACGTGAAATTGTCTTGAAATCGGCTGCTGCTAAATTGAGCCAAACTCAGACCCAACTTACTGTTGTCAATGAGTACAATGGACAAGTCTCGTCGTCCAAGGTGACAAGTCTACTGAAATATCAACGTTTAGTAACACGGGCTAATGTCTACTCTGTTCATGATTTTTGTCAGTGGTGTCAACTGCGTTCTACTACTCCCAGTTTACAGTCACCGCACGATGTTTATGTACCACAGTTCGAAATCAATTCCTCCGAGGATCTGTTTATGTTCTTCACTACTCGTCAGCTGATCTCTGTTGGTGCTCTGTCATATCTATTTCAAGTTGACGCAACATTCAAATTGACCTGGCAAGAACTACCTTTGCTGGTGTTTGGCTGTAGTGATGCGGACCGCCATTTTCACCCCTATGGCATCGCTCTGATTTCAACATACGAAGCTGCTAGTTCATATGCTCGATTGTTTCAAACATTAAAACAAACAGTGCTGAACACAACAGGTTCAGCATACGATGTTAAAAATGGTGCCAGTTGCACGGTGGCCAGCCGTCGAACGTGACATTGTTAGTATTCAGCTGTCATTTTCAGATGCTGTCTTTTGAAAAGCTATTTCACTATTGTTAACAAAATGGAGACAGCAATCTGAAATAGTCGCGTTCGCAAATTATTTTGAGACACAGTGAGTGAAAGAACTGCCTTTCTGGTACGAAGGAGCTGCCCCGTTCATGCCATCGACAAACAACGGTCTTGAATCCCTAAACGGGAAGATAAAACAGAACTATACATTCAGAAACAAACTGATCCTGTCTGCGTTTCTGGCAACGATTGAACAAATGCTTGTCGAATGGTCACAAGCATCAGCCAAACGCGGTTTTCTAACCTTTCCCACTGTCAAGCATTCTCACGAGAAAGATGCTCATAAATGGATTCAAAATTTGGACAAAAGTCGGTTGTTGTACTGGTATGGCCATACACATGTGGTTCCCTCCTTATCTCTGGCGCATATTCCTCCTCATCTCTGGCTACAACAACTGGAAACGTTGCCGTGGCAAAGTTTTGATGTTTTTTCCACTTGGATGTACGCTACCAGACTCGTCTCAATGCCCATGATATGTTCATGCAAACAAAACTTGAAACAGTACGTCTGCAAACATGCATTGGGACTCTTGATGCATTTTGGCTATTACACAGTGTCAGATCCCTCACGATTACAAGATCTAAAGAAATTAGTAATACAGTTTCTGGTGTGACGTTGTGGCACTCAGCTTACGAGCGAATGGAGTGCAGCATTTCTGAGTTTCAGAAAGGAAAACCGTGCCCAAATAAAACGAACGGTTTTTTCGGGCACGGAAATTGGCAAACCGTGCCCAAAACGCCTAATTTCCGTGCCCAAAAAAAATCCTCGTCCAGGAGTTTCTATGCACGTAGAAGAATATTTTTTAACAAAAATTTTCATTGTGTAATTAATTGTTTGTCGGTTCTAAAAATTATAAGGTTTTAATCTTATTAGTTTAATACAAATTAGAGACTTTTAGAATTGGAAATTACAATGCGAACACAAACTAAAATGTTGAGTGGTTTAGATTGTCTGAGAATATGTTAAAATCTAATATGAAGAGTTAAAAATAATTATCTTCTTACTCACAATGAAATGATAGATGTAGCAGTGTTATTTTAAGAACGATGTATTTTTTTTCACTCTACCACACCGTCAAAACCACGCAGATGACAGCAGATACCATAGTCTTTTGAAAACTCTGATTATATTTCCATATTTTCTTTTCATTCATGCTTGTTTAAACGTCTGTTGATTTCGATCATCTCTTAGGTGGCAACATCGTTACATGGAAAACATGATGAAAACACAGAACGAATTGTTGAACAACTGCGAACAGCATTAGAAAAATTAAACGAAGAAAAAGATGCAGGTCACAAAGATCGTGTGACATCGGATGAATTTATTCAAATATTATTAGAAAATAAAGAAATATGTGATTTATTATCGCCATTTAATGTTACATAAAATGTCATGGGTACTTAATCCTTGGACATCCACAGCATGTACTAGTCTCTTTCTTTCCTCTCTCACACTCCTGTTTTTAATTATTGGTTTTGTATAATATCACACACAAACAAAATATACACATATACTGTATGTCAGATGTATTCTTTAAAAGGCACACACACACCTTCTTCCAGTTGAGAATACACACAGTTTGTGAAAAAATCTTTTTTATCATGGTCTTTGTTGTCTGTAGGTTTACTTTTTAAAACTTTGTTGATCTTTCTAATTGTTCTTTTTGTGTTTCGTTGCTTTTTGTTGTTTTTCTTTACATTTTTTAATTGTTCTTGTCGCTAATATAAAACATATATCGTCTTGTGTAAAGATTATCATTTTTATCGCACCAGAAACACAATAATAAAGTCAAAATAGGAAGAAGAATACCTTGTCTTGCGATCACTGTTACCGGTATAGGGTGCTGCCGAATGGCAGTTTCAGTAGCTCGATATCTTCGCTGCAGCTGATAACGTTCTGATATGGTCATCCGTCTCATTACTAGTCAGCTCTGGACAGAAGACTAGCCTGACGCAGAGTTGTTCTTTCGGCCAATTACTTGAGTTCCCCATAGACACTCACTAACCACGTACTAGCTTCCGGAGCCTAGTTGCTGTTCAAGCCAAAGTAGAGATTACTGGTCAACCATGAATTTTTGTTTTCTGTTCGACTACTTAATTATGACTAAGGTGAAGTATATCCTAGCTAGTTGTAGTTGAGAGAGACTAGGATAGAACAGAAGGAAAGCAAAGCACAAAACAACACTACATAGCTGTTGGAATCGAAGACTGAAACTATGAATTTTCAAGCATCAGTTTACTTCTGGACTAAATTATCCGAAAGTAAAATTGAGGTGTTCGATTCCTCATCTTGTCCACTGCTATAGTGTGTTCTACCGTTATTGCTTAATTCATACAACTTATAACCTTGGGCATCAGACGCGGTCGTCCATCGTTGCACTAACCAAAGCCTGTATACTCTGTGATGAGTCATAAGACAGAGTAGATGTTATGGGGTAGAGATACGTGTGATAGGGAGAGATACATGGTACATCGAGAGGATGGAATGAGTATAAATCAGCACGAGTTTTCAGAGAGCAGTGAAAGATGTTCTTATGTATGCTTTGACTCTTTTGTACGAACCTAAGAGAGACGTTCGCTGGCAACACAGCAAAAGCGCCAAACAATAAAAGTGGAAAAATTATTGCTTCTGAACTAAAGGTCAACAGTTATAATCTACAAAGGAAAGTTTTGTAACTTATAAATAGTAATTACTCTTATTAATAAGAACATGTGCGTTTATTATTTGCCTCACACAGTCATACATACAAAGAAAAATACGCATAATATACAAGATAGAGACAATTATCTCGCTTAATGAGTGTTTAATTCTGGTTAATTGTTAAGATGTTAAGAAAAATTAGCCAACAATATGTATACAGAATAGTGTGTCGTTGATTTGGTTTCATCAATCAAATGGCCGTGGTCTTTGTTTTCCATTTTATACTTGATCAAATATATTTTAATTTAGGAGTTTACGGCACACTCAATCATGAGAGTTGAGCAAGATTTTTGTTTTAATGTTCTGTACGAATCGTTGAACAATTGTAACATAAGAGTGTGTCATTTATTGGATAACACAAATTTTCCACATTATCATTTAGTTGACAATCACAATCCTTTTTTTTGATAAAATATACAACAGAGTCAAAAGTGCAATTACTCATAACCATATGCTAAAAAGTCTTACTTCACATTTGTAACAGCTAACATGGTAATTTTTGTTCATTGCGATTACTCGAACTGTTTCGTCGTAACCCTAAATGAAACAAAAAGATCGTTGTATTTTTTGATTGATTATACAAATTTTCGATCTATCTACCTCTTCAGGACATATTGGATAGTTACATTTGGCACATCTTGGAGCATATGTACTAAAAATAATGACGATATTTACAAAGATTGAAAAGACTATGAATTTGGAGAACGATTGTTAGTTGATCTAGCCGGTTTTCCTAAATTGCAATATGCATGCCCAAATCGAACTGTACTAAAATATCAGTGGGAATCAAAAAGGCTTTGTTATCAACGAACACAATACAATGCTCAATAATATCTCCATCAGTAGAGAAAAATAGAAAACGATATTATAACATCGGAATGAATAAATGATGACTTACTTATGATAATCATAGAGGCAAAATATTCGATGTTCATTATCAATAGTAAATGGCACACCATCAAGACACTCATTACATATATGACATCGAAAACATCCTGGATGATATGTATTTCCTATTGCTTGCAGTACCTAGAAAAAGACGTATTAATTATTTTATGTGTCGATAGTTATCTTATACAACACAAACCGTATCCATAATGAGGTGATCACATTGAATGCATTTTTCAGCAGTTTGTTGAAATCCACTAAACTAAAATAGAAAGAGAGATAAAAATTACGATATTATAACTTAGGTATGAAAATTATTGTAATACCAAATAATCTTCTTCACAATAAACTTGATCGGCAACATTATAAAATGCTTTACCACGAAGTGTTCGTTCACATAGAACACATTTAAAACAATTATTGTGATAAAGATTGCCCATTGCTTGGCATGCTTCATGAGCACCAGTTACAGATTGTCCACATTTTGTGCATTGACCTCGAATGAAAACAAAAATAAATATTAAAAATGTTGGGTCTTATCGTTGTTCTCTTATGTGTATTGAATGCTGTTCATCGGTTCATCACATGTATAAAGGATAGAAAAACTTACCATAATATTCTCCAACAGTTGCTTCGCTTTCTAATTCTTTTTCTAATGCTAATGTTAACGCAGCTAATTTTCGTTCAACATCATTTGTCGCTGTATTATTTGTTCGTTTAGCGTTGAGAAGTGTAATAGGTAATTGAACTTTTGCTGCTGTTTTAGCATTACCATCATCGGGTATAATTGCTGATGTATTAGTTAGTAATCGAAAATTTGGCAATGAAAATATGCCTGCCGTTGTTGCTCTTGGTGGTACAGGCGGTTGTTTAGGAGATGTATGAATTGTTATGCGAGGAGAATTTAAACGATGAAATGATTGTTTTTCTTTACTAGCACCGTCATTTAATGTAAAGTTAACATAAGGTTTTGGTAATGAATTATTAACACGAAATCGAGGTACAGGTTCCTTTTGTGGTTGACTTATGTACAATGTACTTGAATTCATAAATGTAGTATTTGACGGAGATTGTTCACGATAAAATGGCGATGAATTATTCATATTCACAGCTATTAGTTGTTTGGAATTTGTATTGGTTGTATTTAAATTTGTTGTGCGTGTAATGATTGGTGTTCTTGTAAAGAATTGTTGCTCAAAATTCAATTCATTATTACTCAATGGTTCACTCGATGATTCATAGGATGCATTATCTAATGCGTCAGTCGTTGTTGTATAAAAATTGTTTGAATTCGGATTTGTTAGTCCAATAACTGTTATTACACTCTCTCTTAGTGGTCCATATTGTTGTTTGTTCAAGAATTTATCTGTTTTAGTTGTTGTTTTAACATTCGATGTGGACTGAGTAGACCCCAGATTGTCAATTTTTCTTTTAATTTATATATACGGTACGGTGTGCTGACTGTTATAATAGAAAATATCGACATAATAAGTAATGTTTGTGTATCCATTGTGTTCTCGATAGAATGTCAATAAATGGGCGAGAAAAAGAATATCGTATGGATAATACATAGACCTCATATGGATGATACATAGCTACCATAAATCTTGTGGAAGAAACAAAGAGAGAAAAGAATTTTTCTCTTTTTACAATCAAAAATCATCATATGCGCATTTTCTCTACCGTTTATTACTACTATTACCGCTACTACTGATTCTACTAATGTACATCGGCACAGTGCTCGTTTTTTTTAATACTTTTTCTTTCTAACATAGAGAAATAACCTAGACATTAGATGTATACAAAGAAAGTAAAGTTAATTTTTTGTCAATCTGCATTGTACATGTATCTATCTCTTTAAATCTCTCAGTTATAAATGATTGTATAATAAATAGTGTAGATAGGAAAACGATTATTCAACTGTCGAATAGATCGTTTATAAACCATAACAAAAAATTAAGATTTTGTCTTGGAAAGACGAAGTTATTTATTGAGTATATTCGAATTTACTTGATAGAGCAGAGATAGAAAGACAGAGAACCGACAGAAAAATACTTATCTAATACTTTCAATCATGAGTGTTGACAATAAGATCTTTTTTTTTTAAAATGCAGAAATAAATGTATTTTCTTTATAAAAAGAATTGTACATTTTATTGTCAACATATTAATCAAGCTTTCAATTACTAACAAGGTTATTAACAACCACTTACAATCCATGTTTCGAAAAACCTCTCATTGAACCAACTATACCGAAGTAAACTGTTAGTTTATTAAACGATTGTATCTGATAGAGTTCTGTCGTTATAATGCATCGCTACTAAACCGCTGTTCATTCAAAAAATTTTAACAGTAATTGACTCTGCTTAGAATAACAGAATATATGGATAGTTATGTATATAACGCGAAGGCAATATATGTTTTAGAATTAGTTATTAGTTAGTTAGATAAATATATTCTAGAAACATGTACAAAACCTGCTTTTGTATTTTGATCTATCGAGTTTGTTTTCGATATAGTTGATTCAATACGAGATTTTTAGGAAAAATTATTAAAAAATAAACGAAATACTACTAAAGGTTCTCAAAGATATCATTATTATCAACTATGTTTCGTATGTATATCCTGTAATTTTCAACTATCAATAGTCTATAATAGAGAAAACTAATCGTTTTGGGTAAAAATACTTTCGTTTGCTGTACGTAGAAGAAATATTATTATATTACTAGATATGAACATACTTGAATTTCTAGAGTTTATGTAATAACTCTATTGATAATAACTCTGATAATAATAACTGATAATTGTTTATATAAAAATTCGCTTTAATACATCGAATATTGTTCTAACTTTCATGTCATTTTCAGAAGTGTACAATATATTTCAATTGTCTTCATTATAACGGAGTGTAAAATTTTTTTTCTAAATTTTTGACTGACTAATATTTTTATAAAAATTATAGCACGAAAATCAATGTAGTCACAGAAATAGAAGAAGAAAGTGATAATGTTCTACTATGTATAAATAATTAGTATGAAAACGATAAAAATCTGAAGATGGATGTAAACTGGCAATTGTCTTGATATTGTTATAAACAAAATATACGAGAATATCGACAAAGAACTGTCTAATATGCTTAAAACGATTGTTACACAACGGAATATATTAAATAAGATTATTATTAATAATAATATGTCACGTCTTGATAAATAATTATAGAAAATAGATGAACGACTAGTAAAAACTATTAAGTCAATCATTAGTAATGCTCAACAAAGCATACTGAGCCTAGAGGTTTTTAAGCATTCTTAATCCAACGATGACGTTAGTTTCCTTTGGATTTGAATTTTATAATATGACTTTTGAAAGTCGTGTTTTTGAATTTTGCAGACTTGAGGACATGTTAATAAAAAATCTCCACTTCCTCAAGTTTTTTTCTGAATATTCACATCGGATTGAGGATATTTTTTTGTAATAAAAAAATATACTTTACTAAAAATAATTCTCTCTTCAAGAAATTTTGAATTTTTTCGTTGAAAATCAAGGTTTTGGGAAGATTTACTCTGAGGATCTGATATAGACGTTTTAAGTTTATATTTTGAACAAGTTAAACTACGTAGTACGTACATTTAACATATAAAATTGCGGAAATTATATCTGATTACTAGAACTTTTTACAGAAGAAATCTGCCCGGTACTGGACTTCTTTTCGAATAAATACTAAAGAGAAAACTTAAAACTTAACTTCGAAACCAAGTTTTTCAGAGTTACATTACCAAATCCAAATTCAAGAAAAACTAATGTCATCGTTGTATTCAGCACACTTAAAATCTTTTAGCTCTAACTTATAGTTTTGGAGCGATTGAGCAACTAGGTTTTCTTTTATTTGGATAGACTTTCATTAAAAATGATTTTGAAAATTTTTAGTTTAATATAGAAGTTAAAACAAGTAGTATTTATCGAATAAAATTAATTAAAATTAAAGATGAAAAGACAAGGTCGTAAATGTTGTTCAATTGTGTAAATTAACAGCTGTTAATGGAGGGAATCTGAAGCAATGAAGTTGTCCAGAAATTCAAGCTGAACTCGGCTGTATCTCTTTCATATGTTTACTGGTTCCTATAAATTCTAAAATCAGCTGACCAAACGAGGCTGCCAGCTACATCGAAAAAATAGTGTATATCTCCTTTGCCCGAAAAAGCCTGCCGGATATAGTTTTGTGCCCTAATTACGACTACGGTCTTAGTTCAAAACATCAATATTTAGATAAAAAACTAATTCCTGTGAATTCATACTTGTGGTATATATATATATATATATATATATATGGATCAAGTGCGCTTTTTTTATATTGTGACTGTAATAACTTTTTTTGGTCGAAGTCTTTTTGTGTTTTTATTGCTCACATCGCCAGCAAGTTTTTCTAAAAATATCTTATTGTGGCATACCTAGGACTGCGAGCTATGTACCATTCTTTATACATACCATTTTTTGGAGATGTTACCAGCTTTCAAGTTTTGGTCTTATAACTTTGCAGTGAGACGAGGTGTTAGGCCTCGGAAAGTAGAACTTTGTAGAGAATTATGAGCTCTATCAAATCGTGTTTGAACGGGCTTTTGGCGTCTCTTAGTTATTTTTTACCAAATTCTTTTATCAGAACTTCTATGAATATTACTCGGTAATATTGGTCAAACTTGTTCTTGGACACCATAAGGCTTTCGACAAAAATTTAAATTAATTGCACTGTCTTTTATAATATCGCATATTTTCGACAACCTTCGTTTCATAATTGTAAATGCCAAAGCCTTAAAAAGGAAAAGCGTTGTCGAATTATACCATAGAAACAAGGACAAGCGTTTATTTATTTTTTCTCCTTGTTTGTAATACAGTAACATCAAAAAATAGAAAATTATCTTACATGAAAATTCAATAAACAAAAACGTTTTTAACGTTACAAAACACGAAGCAAAATAAAGCTATACATTATCTGACTGTTAACGCATCATAAAAAAATCAAACATTTCTCTCCTAATTCTGAATATTCATAATATAACATAATCTAAAAGGAATCTTGACAAATATTACAATAGCGGTATCTGACACAAGTGGAAAAAAAGCATCACTATAATCGTTCTAAGTCTAGGATAGAAACAGATAGAGTAGAATCGTTGTAAAATGGCCAGGTAACAAAAAGTAACTATGTACAGGTGCATTAACAAAAAGCAAAATGATTTCCATCTTTTTTTGACTAATAATACATTTCTTGAAATTACGGGTTATATTTACAAGTGGATAACAAAATTACTTAACGCAAATATTTGCTATTTATACACTGCGAGAAAAAAGTGCCCTTTGGTGAGGTTTAGGGCCCATGAAGCTGCCTTAAGTGCGCCACAGTCAACGTGAAAATAAAAAACAGGGCACTTTCATGTGCCTTAAACCTCACCAAAGGGCACTTTTTCGCAGTGTAGATATAATCAATCAAAGGCTGTAAATCATCTTTGACGACGCTTTTTTCACTTGCGTTTAAATAATAATTTTTGTCATTTGTAGTAACAATGGTAAACAGCCATGATTACCCATAAATTACTAACAATCTCTCTCAGAGTGATTGTTAGTGAATCTGCTGAATGTGACACTGTAATGTGAAAATTCACGTCAATATTGTTTCTGAAAGCCAAGGCACTTTGCTATAGGTTGTTTAATATGCGTTGTCGGATGGAGTTACTTTCAGAACAACGTTAATGCAGGTCTGAAACCGCTTTCGGTCAAATCCACTCGGTTTCTGGAATCCTATTTGGTATGACTTAATCTGCTTTTCAAAGAAGCTTGTCGCTTGTGGAAAAATTATCTCTTAATCTGCGCCTCTATCGAATGAGACTTACATCACAAGCCTATAGTCAGTAATCAGCAAGTGAGTTAGAAGCTTATAAGTTATATGAGCTATGGTACAAAAAGGATTACACCGCACTCCCCTTGGTGAATCGAGTTCGTATCTCCGTTTTCTTGTCGATGCAACCTCTCTCAGAGAGAGCAGAATGCTTTTCCTTGTCCATTGATGTTTTTGAGTACTTCATATAATCTTTCTATGCCTTGTCTTCCCTTTCTGCAAGATTTCTGAACAGTTTCTAGCTGATTTTGCTGTGGACAAACCGTGATAAGTGAAATATGATTTTCTTGTTAAGTCCTTCACATAAATCGCCGTGTTGATTCCATCCATATACAAAGAGGCAAGATATCTGTAACCTTCAGCTCCTTCTGCGTTCGCTTGCTTGAGAAAGTCGTTGAAATTCGTTGGCATTGATTGAGCAGGGTACGTCAGTTTTTTGAAGTTCGTGATAAACTGTTTTTGATAAATAGACTAACTATATCATTTGCATTGAAAAATACATCATCATAATAACTGTATCCAATTGCTCCCTCTGATTTGGCCTTAGCAAGGAAGTTGGACTTTGAATTAGTCACTGATTTGATAGTGTGGTACTGGATACTGCTTTCGACTTGACCAACTAAATACATTGAACATATTTTTCTTCAACATATATTCATTTTGAAGGTTAAAAAAGCGTTCAAAGAAAAGTTACTTTTTATATCAACTAGAGATGTGCAACCCGATCCGTACCCGACCCGATCCGAAGGCCGGGTACGGGTACGAAGTTGTCGGGTACGGGTAGAGCAGTTACGGGTACGGGTTCTATTCTTTTAATTTACCCGAAAACCGTAAGGTTCTG